TTGGTCAATAGGATTAACACAATGAGGTCGAATTTCTTTTATAACGTACAAAAATTACGCATGAAAATTTCACATTCAGTGTTTAACTTAAATCTGGATACATTCAGGCTACACAAGTCACAAAACACCGTCCAGGGTCTCTGCAGATAACATGATGTCAAATAAAAGACTTTTTAGAACCTTTAAGTATTAAATTTAAGACCTATATATAACACGCAAGAGAAAATGTAAAAGCACAAAATTAGGGGTAAAATATATGTATTTAAATTAAGCAGTACTAAAGACAGGTTAAATGCACCATTGAACTACAGGAAAAAACAAACATCTTAAGGCTGATTTATACTTTCGCCTGGCGCCGCATCGCACACCTCACAAAATGGATGAGGCTTTTATAGCTTACATGTTCACTATTGCCATATTTTCTTAAATGACGGGGCAGTCAAAAAAAAAAAAAAAAAACAGAAATTCATTCCAATTAGCCACTCAATCAAAAAAGTAACAAATTGATGTTAGATACAATTGAGTTTTCTGATGTTTAATGGGAAATAAAAGTGTAAAAAACGTGTATATTGTACCTTTAAATTATTGATGGTTCCTCCTGTGCTGGTTTAAGGCTGATATATGCTTCTGTGTCAAGCCCATGCATATGCTCCGGCACAGCCTGTGTGTGGTTTCATAGCCCTCACTGTAGCTGACATCAACGCTGATGCGCACCTCTCAAAAAATTTAACTACGCGACACCTCGACGCAGAAGTACAAGCTCTGTGATTGGTCGGCTTGGGTAGCTGTGAGGAGTGTGAGGTGCTGAGAGCTGTGAGGCAGATGGGGCGTGTGTTTACAAGTATCAAGTCTCTTAAAGGAGCTCCAGATGAAAACTTTTGTTTTGTGTTTAGCCTATGATTAAAGTTGTTACTCGTCAGCCGGTTCTCGCCAAATGAGCAAGTTTTAGCTACTTGTACATTAAGGGAGCATTAGAAAACAACTAAACACCCGTGAAGTAACTCAACACAGAGGAACATTTAAAGATACTGCCAGCTAGCATTTCAGAAGTGTTATTGCAGAGCTACACAAACAAGTATAAAGAAGAAGTATAAATGCATGACTACACAAAATGCAGCCATCGTGGGTCATGCCGATCACTCGACGTGGAAGTATTTAGAAACTACTACATAGTAAAACTTAGTCACTCTAAAAGTTCTGAAATTAATCCAGGTTTCAGCAATAGAGCCCTGAAAACATTCCTCCAGCACAAATGCTCCTATTATAGTTTAGTTCAGGTTAGTGTTTCAGCTACTTCGTTAACTATTAATATACAAATCCTCTAATTGAAAAGCACAACATTTCAATCAGATTTACATAATTAAAAAAATGTAAGTTCTTACACGAAGTTCAACAAGTTGACTTTCCGTCACACTGGCTCCAGCTGCTGTAAACTGGAGGAGGCTAATCCGTCTGTTCTGATCCAGCGGCTAATCTTCAGAGGCGCTGGAGTGCGCTCCTGTTCAAATCCTCACATAATTGCAGTCACAAAAAGCTAATGAGTCATTCAGGCTTGGAATAGCAGTGCCAGGCTAGCATCGGAATCTGCGCTGAGCTTTTGTCTGTCACTCCTGTCACCGTCAGCCAGAAATATCACAACAAGAAAGTCCGTAAACGCAGGAGAGGATCCAGGAAACAACGCCCACAGTCCTTGCCAACATAGCGGTTTCTTTTTCAAGACTAATTGAATTCAATGATCCAATCTTTTGTGGGAATTACTGGAACAGAGTCGGTCGAGCTTCTAAAACACTATGGACAGGCTTTTGAAAGTTATAATCCAATCACCAGTACTAGACCTGAGGAAACTTCGCTTCTGTGCTCCCAAATTGAAGCTAAACATTAAAAAATATCTGTTAACAGTTTCCATATTTCATGTTTTTTGTTTTTTTATGGTCGTGTAGCTAATTCGAATGTTATCACTCGATTGAATGGCCATTATCAGCTGATGGATATGGGCCAGTAGGGGCCTTCTGCGCCTATTAGTAGCCTCAGAAGGCTGTAACCATCCATCCACGTGGTTAATTAGCTATAGATAACATACAACTGTGGCCAAAAATTAGTGAGTGAAATTAGTGAAAATTATTTATATTTTTTTATTAAATTTCCCTTTAATTGTATTTTATTAATGTCTACTGTAGGGGTAACTGTGTTTTATTAATGTCTAATCCTACCCCAACTATCACAGTAATGTAAAAACAGATCTGGATCTGGAGTCTTCTCTATTAGTATAGCTGATAAACCATGTGGATGGATGATAACAGCCTTCTGAGCCTACTAGTAGTACTGGCCCATATCTATCAGCTGATAAACACTGATAACGCTCATTCAATCCAGTGATAACATTCTAAGCGGGTGATGTGAATTGCATTATTGCATTATTATATTAATTACTTGATTTCTGCTCTGTCGACTTTTGATATTGAATTCATGATGTTGATTCAACTCTGCAGTTTAACAAGGTGACCTTTATTGACAATTCAGTAGTTTGAAATAATATAATGCATAATAAAACATTTATAGATAAATATGTCTATCAAAGTGTTAAGCAAAGCTTGCAGGCATATGTCTCATTTTACAAAAATGGTATCGGATCAGTTTAGGGTTTTAAATACTCGCCGATACCGATGCCAGATTTTTTGCAGTATCAATGAATATTTCCAATACTAGTATCGGTATAGGAACAACCCTAGATTTACCTGGCATGAAATGTTCACACAGTCAAAAGTAAAAATGCATGATACATTAGTAGTTTCTGGCTGCAGTTTTGCACTCGCACCTTCAGGCTTGCACGCTCAGGCAACGGCGCTTCCTCTGCAAGTGACGTCATTTACAATTGCCATCTGAGGCCGCTTGCATGAAAGTCCTACAGTAATTGAACTTAAGGGAGTACCTGATGCAAAAAATTTCTGAGGTAACAAATTTTATCAAGTGCCTTTTTTCTAAGCGTTTCACTGTAGTTTCTGGCTACATATGGCGATGGGTGCCACAGATGCTACAGTTACGTAAACAGATCGTAACGAACCATGATTGCTTGCCTTACAAAAGCTTTGCAGTAATGTTAAACGTCATCTGTTCCACCTTCTTTCTGTTAAGCCAGTCGAGACGTTCCCTTGGAGTCGATCTCGACATTATGTTTGAATTTGCATCTGTATTTTTTACCGTCTGGAGCCAGCACCTACGCTTTTCACCCATCATAGCACATGTGCTGCTGATGATGTGACAATAAAAGTGATTTGATTTGATTTGGAGGACCTATAAAACTGGGCTGGTATCATGTAGAGACTGCACTGCAACTGCAATTTCATATGGATGCACTCCTGCGCAGATGTGCTAACATATCAAGACATTTATATTAGTCAATTAATAAATTGTTTTATTAAATTATTTATTAACAGTCCTGTGAGTCTTTTATCTAAAACATTTTTTTTTGGGGTGAGAATGCTTGCATGTTGAGTCTCATTTGTTCAAGGGAGCTGACTGGGTCCCTTAAATGTTTTAAGAGGAAATGGTTACTAAGGACTGAGGGGAAATAATTGACGGCAGTCCTAAACTCCTTAATTCGTTCTTTTTTTTCTCCCTACAAATCAACTTTTACTAAGGGTACCATAACCTTAAACAGTGATTTTTTTGGTTAAGGACTTCAAGCAACCAAGCCCTGCACTCTCCTGCCACATCACTTGCATCAACATCTGCATTCTTGTTTGCAATCATCCTAAGACCTGCTGAATAAAAAATAGCTTCCCAAGTCACTCAAGAATCATTGCTGTAAGTCCATAATGTGTATCCATTAGTTGTAATAGTTGTAACTCCTTGAAATGTTTAAAATAAAAACTAAAATTCAAATTTGCCTGGTGTTTTATTTTTTATTTACAACTGTGGAAGAATACCTTGTGTGTATATTTAGACCTGATAGTTCATATAAATAAATAATAAGCTTTGCTGGTATAAATGTTAATAGTAGCCTGCTTTGGTAAATTTACATTAAAGCATTATAATCATAAGATGAATACACAAACCGATTTTCGGGGGGTTGGGCGGGGGGGTCTGTCATGGTATACAACTTAAGTACTTAGAATTATTTGACAACGTCGTCACTGTCAACGACAGTCAAACAAACTGGAAACTTACTTTCAGTTTATTTGTGTTGATTTCAAGTGATGTGACAGGTGCAGGTGTCGATTGAACATAAAGTCACTTTCATAGGAAGCATGGGTGCAAGCCTGAGAGTCCAAGCCTGAAGGTGCAAGTGCAACTCTGTAACCAGACCCCTCTCCGATATATCGGTGGCCATATCGTTAGATAATACTTTTACAAAGTTTTTAAACTAAGTTGTTTACTGTATAAAAATAGAACATTTTAAACTATACATATTCGGCTATAGTATATCGGCTATCAACCTCCAAATCTTAAGAGTTATCGGTTATCGATATCGGCCAAAAATGCATATCGGTGCATCTCAAGGCAAAAGCCTTAAAAAACACATGTAAACGAGAAACATTTTTGAAACTGATTAAACTTTGCAATGACTCCACAAATCATGAGTGTTTTCCACTATGGCTCCTGTTCAGCTTTAATCTTGATACAACATTGCAGATCCTACTATGTGTCTATTGCAGATGCAAACATTGCGATATAGATGCTGAAATGATATACATTTGAAGTCATAATTATTAGCCCTCCTATAATTTTTGTTTGTCTTTTATCAATGCTTCCCATATGAAGTTTAACAGAGCAAGGAATTTTTCACAGTATTTCTGATCATATTTGTATTGTGGAGAAAATCTTCTTTCCGTTAAACAGACATTGAGGGAACAACATACAGGGGGGTAATAATTCATGAGGGCTGTATATTGCAGCCCTAGTTCAAGCCATCTCCAAATGCATCCTGCAGAACTTTTTTTAGTTTCTTGCCCCGCTGTGATGAAACTGTGTTTTAAGGCTGATGAGTGGCTCTCGCTTACCGTGATTCTAACGCTGACTGTGGCCGTTCCTGGAGGCAGGACTCCACCGTGATCCAACGCCTCCACTTCAAACGTGTAGGTGCTGTTTCCTGCTGCCAAGGACTCAAAGTCTAGCGCCTGCAGGACTGATATGACGCCGGTCAGACGGTTCACGGCGAAGAGCTGCAGAGCCGCTTCTGTTTTTATCCTGTAGGTCACATTAGAGACCAGATCGGCATCCACCGCCTGAAAGATATGAAGAGAACAAAGAGAATAAAGGTTAAAAGAGACAGAATTAATGATCCCATCCACACTTTGTGAGGTACAGCAGGAAGAAAGGAGCCTAACAAGTTCTGTAAAGGGATAGTTCATCCAAAAAGATGAAAATTACTTTTTCAAAACCTATTTAACCAAATCAGTCTTGCTTTTCGGATTCGAATTAGAGAGTAAAAGATAAGATTTTTTCAATTTTGGGTGAACTATCCCTTTGAAAAGTTCACCCAAAAATAAAATGCTCACATGATTTACTTTTGTTTGAGGGTCAAAGATGAACAGAAGAACAAGAATCAAACAATACAAGTGTAATACAGCTTTACATTTCCCTACTTTGTTTAAAATAAGTTGGTTTTTTAACATCGTTTAGGCTAGTCTTATTTGTTTCCTTCAGATATGGCAATAACTTTTTAAAATTGGAGTGACAAAAGAGTTTATCCCTCTAATTTGAATCTGAAAAGAAAGACTGATTACATGTTGGCTAGCTGAAATGCTCAAATTCAGATAAGTTCAGATTAGTCCATAAGGCAGAGTCCTAACATGGTGACTTATATTTGGATAGATGGTTTTGCAGACCACGCTTTTGAAATGTTACCACGTCTACTGATTTTAAGCAACAGTCATTAACCATCTCTGGGCTTAAGTGCTCCAGTTTATGGAGTTAGTATAGTAGGAGTGTGCAGGTTATGATATTTTGGTGTGTTTCTTATTAAAAAATTTAAGAAGAAAGGTTTAGGTTAAAGTTTTATCCATATAATTTGAATCCGAAAGCAAGACTGATTAGTTGTTGGCTAACTGCTCAAATTCGTATAAGTTCAAATTAGTCTTTAAGGCAGAGTCTTAAGATGGTGACTACTGTATGTTTATCTGTGTTGTTTATGTTTGGATGGATGGTTTTGAGGTGTTGCCACATCCACTGATTTTAAGCAATGCTCATTAACCACCTTTGGCTTACGCGCTCCAGTTTATGGAGAAAGTATAGTAGGCGTGTGCAGGTCATGATATTTCCGTGTCTGTCTTATTAACTTCTAAGATGAAAGGTTTAAGTTTTTATGTGCTTTTTATTTACAGTTTTTGCTTCTTTTTTTAAGAGCTGGCAATACTAATGAGTCAAGAAGATGAACCTTGTTCTCTTGCATTTCTTGAACTGAGCACAGAAAAGAGGCTCTTGATGCACTACTAAATTAGATAGTTTCAAGAGTTAAAGGATAGACAGCATTTTAATGTCATTGTTTTGCCCCCCACAGTTTTTCCTAACCTGTTTTTATTATGAGAAGGAATTTTGAAAAATGTTGGTGCGCTAAAAAAATTGTGTTCAAACTCTGCATTTAAAATTAAACACAATTTTTACGTATTTTTTTTGGAACAACTCAATTGTTTAAATACTCAAATTTGTAAAAAAAAAAAAAAAAAAAAAAAGATTCAGTAATTCTAATCAATTTGTTTTGAGAAAACACAATTGTGTTATGCTCAGCATTTTACTGTGCAAAATAGGTTAGGTTAGGGTATTGCTGATGTCTACAGCTGTCTCAGTACAACCATTTTTCAAATGTTCTTTTTCTGTTTCAGTTGAACGATAGATATTTACCTTTATGCATTTACAGAAGCTTTTGTCCAAAACATTGTAGGTAGACTTTAAAAAGTGATTATTTACTTTACTTAAAAGCGACAGGTTGACTTCAATTAAAACATTTTGTAAACCCACCGTAACTTGGAACTGTTCTATAAATTGAACTTAATTTTTATAAGTATGCACACACTTCATTTACTTAAACATTTTAAGGCAACGGGTTTACAATGTTTTAAAGTAAAGTCAATTAATTATTTTAAAAGCAGCATGATTTAAAAACATAAATCTTTTTTACAGTTTTTTTTCTTACACTCAAAAAATGCTGCTTGTTCAATCTACACTGAAAAAAAAGTTGACTCAACTTTAAAATTGAGTTTTAAAATTGACAAACTTCAGAACAGTTGAGTTGGCTCATCTTTTAACCCAATTACTGCACTTGATTTAAGTTGAGTAAATTGTCCTGAAGTTTGTTGTCTTAAAATTTTAAGTTGAGTTCACTTTTTTTTTTTTTTTTTTTTACAGTGTAATTAACTTAATTAAAATGAGCTGAAAACACAATTCTTGAGATTTTGGGGGGAAAATTAAATGGTTTTATGCTCAATTCACTTAAATTTGTTAAGTTAACTTAATTAATTTGTGTTGGGAAAAATGGATGAATTTTGTGAAACCCTGCATTTTTACAGTGTGCTCTGCCTGGGGATTAAACCCACAGCCTTCTTTTGCACCAAAAAACAGAAATAGATTCAGAAAAAGACGAGTAAATTATGTTTAGTGAATTTACTTAACAACTAGTTGAATAGTTAACCAATGCAAGTTAATCATGATTGCCATTGACTGCATTTTTCAAGAGTTAATTCGCTTATGACTTTCATAAATAATTTAACTGTATATATAGAGAATATGAATAAAGCAGTAGTTCATTCATTCATTCATCCACTCATCCATTCATTCATTCATTCATACAATTATTTTCTTTACGGGTTAGTCCCTTTATTAATCCGGGGTCGCCACAGTGGAATAAACCGCCAACTTATCTAGCATGTGTTTACGCAGTGGATGGCCCTCCAGCATCTCTGGAAAAAATCCATACAAACTCATTCACACACATACACTACGGACAATTTAGTCTACCCAATTCACCTGTACCACATGTCTTTGGACTGTGGGGTAAACCGGAGCACCCGGAGGAAATCCACGCGATAGCTGGGAGAACATGCAAACTCCACACAGAAATGACAACTGACCCAGCCGAGGCTTGAACCAGGGACCTTTTTGCTGTGAGGCGACAGCAGTACCAACTGCGCCACTGCATCGCCAAGGTAGTTCAAAAAAAAATTTTATTTACTCAATATTTACCTACCTTCAAGTGGTTCCAAAATATTTTTTTATAATTCTGTTAAACACAAAAGAAGATATTTTGAAGAAAGCTGAAAACTACTGGCATCCATAGTCAAATAAAATACCATGGAAGTCAATGATTACAGCTTTCTTCAAAATATCTCCCTTTTTGTTTAATAGAGGAAAGAAAGTTAAGCGAATGGTGTAAGGTTTTGGGGAGAAATATCCCTTTAAGCACTAAAACTGACAACCATATTTAGCTGCAGTGTGTACAAATCTATTCCTAAACACACCATGTGAAATCTTACTTGAAAGGTGTGCTTGAACTATCATTCTTCAAAACAAATACCACTTGATATTGTTATATAATTCGCTGACATTTATACATTGTTAAGTGTGCCTCAGGTGTCCAGATATATTTTAGGGGGAAACACACACACACAGAGGCAGACTCGCAGATGAAGCTGATTAGGAGTGAAAGAAACAGCCAGAAAGAGGGGAGACGCAGCTCTGTCTCTCTGTGGGTGTGGGACCTTTCAGGTGTCTTTTCTTTGATGTAGGAAGCACGAGGAATTAAATTCTACACCGATCTCAAAGCTTTCAGAAGTGTATAAATAAAGCCTGGGACCCCCAGAGAGCAGCAGCGGCGCAGGGAATCTGATTAGCTGATCGTCCCCGGACCAAATTCTGTCACCGGGACCCACAGCGCTCAGACACCAGCCGGTGCTGCAGGGACCCGGAGGTGTCAGACACACTGAGATAAAAATACAGCTGCAAGATCACCGGTTTCAAACACTGTCACTCATTTGCCCCTCAACTACACACTACATACACACAGAACCTTATTTTCCCTGCAATCTGAATCCAAGAGAGTAATTCACCTTTTTTTGAGAAACACACATGCGCGCACACACACACACACACACAGATAAATGATGTGTGATATAGCCTACTGTAACGTCTGCAATTACAGTATATGACATAAATTTCCCTGAGCGAGAATGACATCGACACACACACACACACACACACACACACACACACACACACACACGTACACACACACACACACACACACACACACACACACACACACACACACACACACACACGCACACACACACACACACACACACACACACACACACACACACACACAGGCACATACATGTATGTGTAAAGAGTAATGGCTTTATTACTTTATCCATGACACACATTTTATGTTTCTATGACACAACCAGTTCTGTCTGGTTCTTGAATATGATTGGCTGATAGTCATGTGATTTCTGCAATATCAGAACTCTTATAGCCTCTTCACCTTTCTGTATTATTCCGCCCACATGACAGCAGATCAATTAACTCACTACAGTTTGACAAATATTGCAGCTGTTGGACAACATAATGTACTTTTGAGTCTTTTTTAGGTAAGAATATACTGTAGTTGCAACTATGCAATTATTTTATAAGGATAGGGCCTTTTTAAAAAAATGTATATACAGTTGAAGTCAGAATTATTAGCCCCCTGAATTATTAGCGCCCCTGTTTATTTTTTCCCCCAATTTCTGTTCTGTTCTGGGAAGATTGTTTCAGCACATTTCTAAGCATAATAGTTTTAAAAACTTATTTCTAATAACTGATTTATTTTATCTTTTTCATGATGACAGTAAATAATATTTTACTAGATATTTTTCAAGACACTTCTATACAGCTTAAAGTGACATTAAAAGGCTTAACTAGGTTAATAAGGTGAACTAGGCAGGTTAGGGTAATTAGACAAGTGATTGTATAACAATGGTTTGTTCTGTAGATTATCGGAAAAAAAAAATTGCTTAAAGGGGCTAATAATTTTGTCCCAAAAATGGATTTTAAAAAATTAATTACTGCTTTTATTCTAGCCAAAATAAAACGAATAAGACTTTCTCCAGAAGAAAAAATATTATCAGACATACTGTGAAAATTTCATTGCTCTGTTAAAAATCATTTGGGAAATATTTCAAAAAGAAAATAAAAATCACAAGGGGGCTAATAATTCTGACTTCAACTGTATATATATTTTTTTTTCAGAGATTCAGCACATTGGCGCCATCAGCAATGCAAAGAAATTGACGGTTGATGTTCCAACACAAGATGGTGACAGAGAGAAAAACTCAATCTACAGCAGATCAAATCATTATAGATCAGGTAAGTGACATTGTAAATCAAAATCAATCTGTCTCTGGTATGTTGCAGTCCTGTATTTAATACAGCAATTTGTTATTGTTTGCTTCGCTTTGCTTTTTTTGGGTTAATTGTTGTGACCTCCTATTTGAAACAGAGAAATATTGGGAAATCTCTGTAGACTGATGGTATTTGATGCCGTTTAGCCTTATAAAATGCAGAGGAAAATCACCTGTTTTGTCATCACTTTAGTTTAGACATTACGCTACAGAATCATTTAAACACTAGCTCTAAAGTGACGTTGGTGAATGAGCAACGGTTTCTGCTGTTCTGACGCTGTAGATTTGATTTGAATGAATGAATGGTGAAAAAAGTAGTTCCCCATACAAAAGGATTTTTGAGACTCCCTGTTTCATTTTATTTTTTATATGCACGATTATGCCGTTGAACTGTTGTATAAATGCTATATCACACTCCTAGTAGTGCAATATGGCTGTATATAAGCGCTGGTGGGACACTAATGGCCCATTTCCACTGAGTGGTATGGTACGTTATGGTTCGGTACACATTTATTGCCATTGTCAAAAGGTACCTACTGTAAAAGCAAACTGTACCGTACCACTTTTTGGATACCCTTTGCATAGGGTACCTAGCACCATAAAGTGTATCAAAAGGCAGAGCTAGACATGCAACTGAATGATATTGGTTTACAGAGATACGTACACAAAACAGGAGAATAAAAACAAAGGAAGCTCCATTTTAAAAAACACAGCCAAGACATTACACTATAATACTATATCCATATAATAACAAGCCATGGTCAACCTGAGCTCAAACAAACCTTGTTGTCGTCTTAATAAACAGCCACAAAGCAAAAAAAAAAAAAAGAAAAAAAAAAGAAGCAGAATCTACCCTGTGCCCCGTAGTTTTTTTACAAGGCAGTCTAAAGCGCGAGCAGTTTCGCTTTCTCGTGTGCGTTCGCCGAGCATCTATATTTGAAAATAACGAACTCCTTGACCTGATGATAATAACAGGCATGTGATTATTGAGGCGCTTCCGGCATACAATCCTTTCAGAAATTAACAAACGTGAGACTGACGCCTGAAATAATCAAAGGAGATGTCCGAAAAAAACAAAGAAGCTAATGATTGTTTCAGCAACCTAAAATATGAACAAACTGCCATGTTTAGCTATATACATTCTGGACTATTATGAACCCAGAATGACGTAATTCCTTTTATCAAGAGTTTCATGTGCTGGTGAAGATTAAAGATGCAGATGAGAGGTTTGCACTGACTGTGGGCTATATGTTGCATGTTGTTTTTAAACCCAAATAAGGACTAAATGTATGCTGTGTTTCTGTATTTGGTAGCATATCAGAGACTGTAAGGGTCTGTATGTATTCATATATGTTGAATTTATTTATTTATGTCATATACTGTAATTGCAGACGTTACAGTATGCTATATCGCACATCATTGATCTGCAGTTATAATCAAATCATGTTCATAGAAAGGTTAGAATGAACATTTATACACAAGTATTTATGTGTATAAAGCATCTGTTTTGTCAGAAGTGCTTCTCATACGATATGTGAACAACTCGTACAGCTTTACTGTAGAACATACTAACCTTTCTATGAACATGATTTGATTATAACTGCAGATCAATGATGTGTGATATAGCCTACTGTAACGTCTGCAATTACAGTATATGACATAAATTTCCCTGAGCGAGAATGACATCGACTGAAACTTTCTATTATACACCATGCTCACGAAAAGAGTACCATTGGTACCCTTTTGGCAGTGGAAACGCAAGCCTGATAAAAGTGACCCATACCGACCCGTACAGAACCACTCAGTTGACACGGGCCATTAGGCACATGGCCTGTGGCCTCGAACTAACACACACCTCCCACCAGTTCCGATATACAGCCATATTGCACAGCTACAGCCAAAATATATAACGGCATGTATTCCTGTTAATAAAATAAAATATAATTGCTATTATTTTTATATGTATATAATAATAATAATAATAATAATAATAATAATAATAATAATAATAAAATATATATAATAATAATAATAATTATTATAATAATAAAAAAATAATAATAATAATAGTATTAATACTGCTACTACTACTACTACTACTACTACTATTACTACTACTAATAATATTATTAATAATGATGATAATATTAATAAGAAGAGTATTAATAATAATAATAATAATAATAATAATAATAATAATAGTATTAATAATACTACTGTTACTACTACTAATAATATTATTAATAATGATGATAATATTAATAAGAACAGTATTAATAATAATAATAATAATAATAATAATAATAATAATAATAATAATAATAATAATAGCATTAATACTACTACTACTGCTACTACTACTACTATTACTAATAATAATATTATTAATAATGATGATAATATTAATAAGAACAGTATTAATAATAATAATAATAATAATAATAATAATAATAATAATAATAATAGCATTAATACTACTACTACTGCTACTACTACTACTATTACTAATAATAATATTATTAATAATGATCATAATATTAATAAGAATAGTATTAATAATAAAAAAATAATAATAATAATAATTATTATTATTATTATAAAAATAATAAGCACAATATACTTCTTTCAATATATATTTTATTAATTATTTATTATTATAAAATTTGACATTTTTAAAACAAAATCACTTGTAAAATGACTTTGGCCATCCTCTAAATAAATCTATTTTCAAAATATCTTCCGAAGAAGAAAGAAAGTAATACAGTTTAGGAACAAAAAGAGAGCGATTACATAACTGATTACAAGAGTTCTATGTTTGCCATCTCTTCAAATCGGACTACATATGATATCCAAACAAGACATTAATAGTGCGTAGTCGGTTTGTTTTTTTCCCTCGCACTTGTCTCCGGTTGATCTAAAATGCATTGGTGATAGTGTTACGTTGGCATTCTGCTAAAACTCCCAAGAGCGTGATCGTTTAGAGGCACATTTACCACAAGACAAGCGTCTCCAGCTCTTCACACTGCCTCTGTCAAGCTTGTCAATATTTATCTAGTTAAATATGCAGCCCGTCAGGAATAAATAGGCAAATGCGGAGCCGTTCCCCCCCCACACTCTCAGGGGAAACTAAACACACACATAATCAGCCAGTTACTGTCAGGCCAACAGACAAAACGCAGACAAACAGACAGACACATAAATAAACACACACCCACAGACAAGCTGTTTATCCTTCCTTTCTGAAAGTCAGGTTTAGATGCTCGGGTCAAACGGAAGCTGACTGATATTTCACAGCTCACCTTTAACTTTCTCAACAACTTCTGCCACTCAGCAATGATGAATCACTAAAGTACTCCAATACCAACTAAACTACAACAAGACTGCTGAGATGATGGTGAAGCAAGTATAGGTTTATGTATATAGATAAAAATTATTTATACAGCTGAAGTCAGAGTTATTAGCCCTTTTGTATATTTTTCTTGTATCTACTTTATACATCCAATCAGCTTGCAGAAAAAAAGCCACGTCCACTTGCGGTTCATGTGAACTTTAAGGCCCAGATTCAGTAATGTAAACACTGTGGAGCACTTACAGTGAGTCTCAGGATGATGGATCCAGCCGGTGTGTTTTCTGGGACGTTGACTGTGTAGACAGGCTGAGAAAACACTGGACTATTGTCGTTGATGTCCAGCACCTCTACCAGCAGTGTGATGGTGGTCCTGCGTGGATCCACCGCTCCATCTGACGCCTCCACGATCAGATCGTACCGGCTGCGGGTCTCTCTGTCCAGCGGGACGGCAGTGAAGATGCTGCCTGTGGAGTTTATGGAGAACAGAGACGCAAAGGAGAGCAGCCGGTAGCGAACCTGACCGTTAAGGCCGCCATCAGGATCAGTGGCCTGAAAACAGAAACACACAAGTATCATAATCAGACTGTTTTTATTTACTTTAAATAGTCTGTGCTTTACTAAATTATACACTCAGAACATGAGGTTTGCTGTTTGTTCAAACTGCTTATTTAAAACAACCCAATTATTGAGTTTTTTTAGGGGACAACTTGTTTTATGTTCAATCTACTTTAATTTGTAAAAACTAATAAGCTAAAATAATTCCTTTATGTTGTCCCAACAGAAATCGATTGTGTGGAACCCAGTTTGCTTCCAGCAAGGCAGGCTGCAACTGAATCATTTGTATTGAATCAACCTGAATTATCCCCTCTGGGTCACACTTTATTTTGATGGTCCGTTTGTTGAATTAAGTTACATTGCATCCACATGCCAACTAATTCTCATTAGATTATAAGTAGACTGTTAGGTTGAGGTTAGGGTTAGTGTGAGTTGACATGTACTTGCAAAGTTTCTTATAGTCAGTTAAATGACTGTTGAAGGAGCAGTATCAACAGATATTGAGCAGACAGTCTACTCAAATAGACCATCAAAATAAAGTGCTACCCTACCCTGTAATGCCATATGGTTAATGTTTAAAATAATGCAAAATAAATAAATAAATAATGACAATAATAATAATTTAAACAATGATTAAATAAATAAAAATTTAGTTCTATAGTTCAAATGTTAACAATTTTTTTCAGAAAAAATGATCAGTTATTAAATAAAATGTAATGAAATGTATCATAGTAAATACAAATGAATTGATCTAAAATGGAATTAAATATTTGAACTAAATAAAATGATAAATAAAAAAAATAAAATGGTAAATGAAATACAAAATTAAAATAAAATATGATAAAAACAAAATAAATAATGAAAAAATTGAAAAATAAAATAGCATTTAAAATAAATTAAATAAAAATAAACAGTCAAACAAAAATTAAAAGAAATGACAATGTCAATAAATAGAAATGTAATTATCTTAAATAAAATAAAATAAATTTCCCAGAGCTAGGTTGCAGCTGGATGGGCATTCGCTGTGTAAAACATATGCTGGATTGGTTGGTGGTTCATTCCGCTGTGGCGACCCCTGATTACTAAAGGGACTAAGCCGAAAAGAAAATGAAAAAAAAGAAAATAACATATAATAAATTACACAATAAAATGTGTAAGATACAAGTGGAATAAAATAAATTTAAATGAAATTAAAAAAAAAGCTAAAATAAAATTAGAATAGTACAATTAGGAAAAATAAAATAAAAGTCACAGAAACTCCACGTTTCTATACTGGTTGCTCCTGTTTTCCCCACAAGTTCAAAGACATGCGCTATAGGTGAATGAGAGTTTATGGGTGTTTCCCAGTGCTGAGTTGCAGCTGGAAGGGTATCCGCTGCATGAAACGTGCTGGATAAGTTGGCTGTTTATTCCGCTGTGGCTGTGACCCCTGATTAATAAAGGGACTAACCCGAAAATTATGTTTAAGATACAAGTTAATGAATGATGAATGAATGATGTTTAAGATACAAGTGGAATAAAATAAAATGTATATGAAATCAAATAAAAAATAAGCTAAAATAAAATTAGAATAATATAATTAGGAAAATAAATTAAAGTATTTAAAAATAAAATAAAGCAAACAAAATGAAAGACCCTTCCAGGCATTGCTTCAGGCCACAGTAATAAACACTCAAAAATTAACAAAATATATATTTTATTCTGTAAAAATATGAAAGTTCTAAAAACAATATTTAAGAAATTTATTAAGAATAATCAAATAAAAAAATCTAAAATTAAATATATCCAAACTAAAAAATTGATAAAAAAATTAAATAAAACAAATAAGATAAAATTTAATTTCAAAATAAAATAAAATAATCTTAAATAAAATAAGAATATTATAATTAGGAAAAATAATAAACATGACAAATAAAAGTAAATATTTATTAAATATATATATATATATATATATATATATATATATATATATATATATATATATATATATATATATATATATATATATATATATATATATATATATATATATATATATATATATATATATATATATATATATATATATATATATATATATATATATATATATATATATATATATATATATATATATATATATATATATATTTATTTATTTATTTTTTTTTTTTTAAATACTAAACACTTGCAGAACTAATCCTGCATGCATGGTTTCATTGGCTGATTTGTAAATGCTCAGAGGAAGAGCATTGGCCTTTAATGTCTTCAGAAGAGCCTGTGATAATTTCTTCCTGTAGTAATTACACGTGCAGATGCAGGAATATATGAAAGCATTAGTTATTCCACAGGCAGAGAAAGACATCAGCGACACAAAACTGCAGGAGCAGGAAGATGAAGAGGAGGAAGAGACTAAATCCAAACGCTGCCAATAGAAATATTGTGAAATGAAAGAAGTGCATCTGAGCCTTGAGGAAGCGCCGGCACATCTGAGAAATGACAGTGCAAAACACTCCGACAGCACACTTACATGACATCTGCGCAGCTCAATAATTAACTAATGGACTGAATACATGAGCGGAGCCATAAATAAACAACACTACATCACAATACAATACAATACATCAATGTAAAATCTGCTTCCTAACGTCACGCCTGGAAACATTCTTTCAGCCTTCATTTCAGCAGGCTTTAAATCAGATTTTTGACTTCACTTGCTTGTTTTAAATGGCAAATTGATGTTTAAACGTACATTTGCTGAGAAGTAAAACATGAAAACTAGATAATGTATGAATAATTATGAGAGAATTAGCAAATGATGTTTTATAAAGAGAATCACAGGGCATAATGGATATGTGTGCATTTATTTACGTAGTAAAACATGTAATATTTAGAAACATTATTGTAATTGAAAATAATATATATAAACACACAAAACAGTTCTGTCTGGTTCTTGAATCTGATTGGCTGATTGCCTTGCATTATTCCCAAAATATCCAAATCAATCAGCCTACATAGAGTGTCAGCAAATTAATAAACTCACTACAGTTTGACAAATAATGCAGCTGTTGGACAACATAATGTACTTCTGAGGCTTTTTTTTAGGCGAAAATAGTTGCTTAGATTGCAACTATGCAATTTATTTTTAAGGATAGTGCCTATTTTTAAATATTCTTAATTTTGCGTCGGCATCTTTTAGCCTGTTTTTGAGCAAAGACGGTTGACGTTCCGTCACAAGATGGTGACAAAGACCGCAAAATAAGCTCTTAGAGGAGAAAAACTCAACCTAATTTAAAAATGACAGCTGATCAAATCATTACAAAACAGGTAAATGACTTTTAAGTCGATCTCTTTCTCTTGTATGTTGTAGTGCTGTCTTTATACTATAGTAATCTGTTAGTGTTTCTGTTAGTGTTTGCTCTGTTTTGTATGTTTCAGGGATAGTTATTGTGTTCTCCTGATTGCAACAGAGAAATACTGTGAAATCTCTGTAGACTGATGGGATTTCATGCCGTTCAGGGTTATAATCTTAATATTTCATCACTTTAGACATTATGCTAGAGAATCATTCAAACACTAGCTCTAAAGTGATGTTGTGAAGTTGCAACAGTTTCTGCTGTTTTGGCGTCAGCTGGAGATATGAATGAATGGCAGAAGAAAGTAGTTCCTTGTCCAAAAGTTTTTGAGACTGTGTTTAATTTTCTTTTTTATATACACGATTATGCCGTCAAACTGTTGTATGAACACAATATCACATGAGTAGCAGTGCAATATGACTGTATATTGGCACTAGTGGGACACTAAGACACTCGTCCTGCAGCCTCAAGCCATTGCACGCATCCCACTGCTATTCATGTGATATTGCTCATTCTGCTAGTATTGTTTTTATTTTTTCCAGGATTTATTGATGTCTAGAAAGTTTAAAGTACAAAACATAAAGAAGTGTTACTCTGTGTGATTTTTGATAAGTTGCATTTATTCTTGCTAATACATTCAGTTATTTTTTTTACATCTGGTTTTATTTTGTTATATCAGAATAAAAGTTAAACTAAATCAAAAGAAATTTTACATTACAAGTGGCAGAATTTTTTTTTTTTTATTGAATAATTATTAAGTAATTTTATTTATTTGATTCATTGATTAATTTATTTACTAATTTAATTTTTACAATAAAGCTTAGACTAAATTGGATTTTAAATGGTTTAATAAAACAAAACAAAAAAAGAATTGAATTACAAATAAAACTTTAATTTTAAAATAAAAATTTAATTAGCACCAAAGTTAATTGTTAAAATATATACTACTACTACTACTACTACTACTACTACTACTACTACTACAACTACTAATAACAATAATAATAAAATAAACGAACAAAAAAACAATGCTATTCTGATGTACTAAAAACTAAATGAATATTAAAATAATAAATAAATAAATAATAACAATAAAAATAATTTGAACAAACAAAAAGCACTGTTATTGTGATGTACTAAAAACTAAATATTAAAATAATAAATAAATAAATTACTAAATAATAATAATAATAATAATAATAATATAAACAAGCAAAAAATAGCAATATTGTGATTAACCAAAAACTAAATAAGTAAATATTAAAATAATAAATAAACAAACAAACAAAATAATAATAATAATAATAATAATAATAATAATAATAATAAATAAAATTGTCAATGCTGCGGTGGTTAATTCAAAATTTAACAGTTTGAAAAATAATTAACATTTAAATTTAAATTGAAATTAACTTCCAAAATTAAATAAATAATAGTTAAAAATTAAATACACTTTTACATTTCAATAAAGAGAATGGTATACATAAAAACAATTCTAAAAAGTAAACTTTTTTTTTCCAGGCAAATTTTGTCCTAAAAGTGAACATTTCCAGCAGAATGGATTGTTTTGTAAAAGCCCCAGCGTGAGCAGCATCTTCAGGCCTCTAGACATGTTAGCCTGTGGCAAACAGCCAGTCTGTAAGTGTTTGTAGTGTGAGAGCAAACTGATGTGTGTTTGTGTTGTGTGAAATGACTGTCCGCATCTGAAGACTGTTTGTTGTCGCAGAACAGTAAGACTTGAGCTGGTTTTGATCTCTGCAGCATGTGTATATGTGTGTGTGTGTGGGTGTGTGAGTTTGTTGAGCACCTGCTCGTTGTGAACATGGCAGACTTTACACAGAACAGGCCTCCGCGACGAGAAGATGATGAAATCAAGAGAAAGATGATGGAAAGCCGGAGAACAGCTCATGAGGAGACTTCAGCAACAACTTCAACACACACAAATCTCTCAAGAAAATAACAACACCAGACTGCTGTGAAAATGTAATGCATGTGATTTCTTTTCTCAATGGATTGCAGAGGAATATTCATATGGGTGAAGTAAAATAGGGCACATGATCAGTATATATATATGGCAGATTTTATTACATTTTTTTTTGCAATATTTCAATTGAAAACAATAACATACTATTCTGAGAAAACATTGTATTAATTAATAATTATTAATTAAACAAAAAATTAATAAAAACAAATAAAATTACTCTAAAATGAAATAATAAAATGATAGAATAAAATTATAAATAATAAAATAAAATTACAGAAAAGTAATACAAATAAAAACAAAATGTAATAATTACATAAACGTATGAATATGTATAAATAAATAATAAAAATAAATACAATATGACAAAATAAATAAAATAAATAAAAATAAACAATCAAGCAAAAATGAAATAAAATTACATTAAATGTATGTATATAGAAATTACCTAAAAAAATAAATACACTAATAAATAAAACAACATTATAAAAAGTGCATAAGATAAAACTGGAATTAATAAAATGAATATAAAATAATATAAAACAACTCTAAACTACAATTTGAATATTATAATCAGGAATTTTTAAAAGTATTTAATAAATATAAAATAAAGCAAACTAATTGAAGAACAAAAACAAAAAACAAAAAAATAAATAAAAAAATAAAACATCATGGCAGTGCTTCAGGCCACAGTAATAAACACTCATAGATAGCAAAATATACATTTAATTCTGTAAAAATATGAAAGTTATTTAAACAAAACTAAAATTAATCAAATTAAATAAAAATGAATTAATCTAAAATGAAGTAAAATTAAACAGAATATTAAAATGAAAAATAAAAAGTGATACAAATGAAATAAAATTGAATGAATCTAAAATAAACTAATCTTAAATAAAATCTATTAAATAAAATACTATTAATAAAAATACTTAAATAAAATAATTAAATAAAAATACTTTAAGCTTAATAAATTCTTTATAAATAATTGTAGCTTATTTTAAACACTTAAAAATGTTAACTCTAATTCAAAAACTAAAATAAAAACTACAGTAAATTATACATTTTGCTTACTATTTTTAAAGTTATAAAAATAAAATGAAATAAAATGAATAAAATCTAATAAAATATATTAATCTAAAACCGAATTAAAATTAAATGAATTAATCTACAACTAAATAAAATTAAATAGAATACTAAAATAAAAAATGAAGTGACATAGGTGAAATGAAATTAAATGATTCAAAAATAAAATAATCTTATATAAAATCTGAATATTAGCAAAAAAATTAAAACAGTTAAAACAAAATAAACCAAACAATATAAATAAATAAATACATCATAAATGAATGAATATTTATTAAATAAAAAAACACTAAGTGTAATAAATAATTTATAAATATTTGTAGCAAATTTTAAATAGTTAAAAAATGTTAAAGCAAATTCAAAAACCACAATAAAACTACAGTAAATTATACATTTAAAGTTATAAAATAAAATGAAATAAAATGTATAAAATCAAATAAAATGTATTAATCAAAAACAGAATGAAATAAAATAATTTATTAAAAGCAAAATTAGAGCTATATTACAAACTAGAGCTTATTAAAAAACTAAATAACTGAAATAAAAAGTTAACTAAACCAATCAAATAAATAAAAAAGTAAAATAAAAATAAATAAATAAATAAATAAATAAATAAATAAATAAATAAATAAATAAATAAATAAATAAATAAATAAATAAATATTAATTACACTGCGACTTTTCAGATTCCAGAAAACACACACAAAAAAAGACATAAAAATTTGACAGAAATATAGCGAACTACTTTTGAGCAACATCTGAAAAACATTTTATGTAATTATCAGTTCATAAAAACCTGCTGAATGCTTCCACTGAATGCTTCTAATACTAGTTGTCTTCATCATTGCATCATCTCACGCCTGCCAATCACATCCAAACCTGACTCAATGATCAAGACATCAGAGAGCAGCCAATGATGACAACACTGCAGTGGGAACCAACGCCTGACGCTTCTCATTGATTATCTTTCAAACCAACCAAAGCATGATTAATCAAACACGCTAATTAAAAATCCAAGCGCTTGACAGGACGGAACAGAAGCAGTCATCAGAGACAGAGCGTGAGGAGACTAATGACTGCAATTTACCATCACTTCACTTACAAACAATAAAACAGACAGCACAGGTCAAGAGGCCACAAATATACTGTAGCGCTCTATCATTTGTGTGACTATGTGAAGAAATCCGGAATTTGAAAAGCAGAATTTGATCATTAAAATAGAATTTACTGTGTTTTTTTTTATATTTATGTGCTTTTAAGGGGACCTATTATTGCAAACATGCAAAAAAAATTCTGCAACCACAGATTTTTACAGTAAATTGTGTTTTATTAATAAATTATCATTGGGTTGGTGTTGGCACTTACCCTGACTTGACCCACAAACACATTGGCCTCTTCCTCCCGCACTGTCAGGTTTCTGGGTAAAGTGAGGTCAAATGTGGGGTCGTTGTCATTAACATCTGTGATGACGATGCTGACGGTGGCAGTGGAAATCTACAAATGTGAATAAATAATTTTAGCAGGAGTTTTATTAAATATCTTACATATATATATATATATATATATATATATATATATATATATATATATATATATATATATATATATATATACACAACAGTTATGTCTGGTTTCCCAGTGATGGGTTGCAGCAAGAAGGGCATTCTCTGCGAAAACATATGCTGGATAAGTTGGCGGTTCATTGCGCTGTAGCAGTTCTGTCTGGTTCTCGAATCTGATTGGCTTATAGTCGTGCAATATTCTGCAATAACAGCACTCATACAGCCTCTTAACCCTTGTGTATAACTCCACCCACATGACAAGATGACAAGAAGAGGAAAAAGCTCACTACAGTTTGACAAATATTGCAGCTGTTGGACAACAATAATTTACTTTTGAGGATTTTTTTTTTTTTTAGGTGAAATTGTAGTTGTTTAGATTGCAACTATGCAGTTTATTTATACGGTTAGTGGCTATTTTAAATAGTTAGATTTTGGAGATTCAGCGCGTCAGCAGCTGTTAGCCTGTCATACTGAGCAGAGCAAAGGCTGTTGTATGACAAATGGCGACAAAAACTGCATAATAAGTCCTTAAAAGAGAAAAACTCAAGTGTTTTCTTTGTGTATTTCAAACTACAGCTGATCAAATCTTTATAAAACAGATTAGAGACATTATAAGTCGATCTCTTTCTTCTGTATGTTGCAGTGCTGTATTTATATAATCTGCTAGTGTTTGCTTTGGCTTTTTCTGGATTAATTATTGTGTTCTCCCAAAATTATTTACAACACAAATTATCGCTATACAATAACTTGCCTAATGACCCTAATCTGCACAGTTAACCTAATTAACCTAGTTAAGCCTTTAAATGTCACTTTAAGCTGTATAGAAGTGTCTTGAAAAGTGAAATATTATTTACTGTCATCATCGCAAAGATTAAGGAAACCCACGCGAACGAAGGGAGAACATGCAAACTCCACACAGAAACACCATATATACGTATGTAGTAGTGTGAATTTGTCTTTACCCCTTTGTAATTTAAATAAGCTCATCCTTTCCTTTATAACTCTGGCTGTTCTTCATTGTGTGAGGTCATTTTGTGTTGGTTGGTTATGTTGGGTTCATGGTCCTTTATTTTCTTTTTTGTTAAATTATATTAATTTGAGGACTTATGTCCTATTTGTTGAGAATAAATCTCAAATGGAGGATTTTTGGCTTGTGTTCTGTTTCCTTTGACCTTTTGTCTTTCCAATTTCTATATATATATATATAATTGGAAAGACAAAATTTTGAAAAATCTGCACCCAATTAACAGCAGACTGCTCAGAAATGCAATGTCATTAATTATTTTTAAAAAAGCATGCCAATTAATGCACTGTAGCTTTAAAACACACACAAACAAAATTAATTATTAAAAAAAAAATAATAATAATTTAAACAAAGCAAATTAGGTAATGAATGATTGAATATATTAATCAATGCATTTATTTAATATTTTTAAAAGATGGCAGTTTACACACTTCTATTGTGTTTTCTAGACAACAAAAACTAAATAAACACTATAAATAGGTGGATCAACAGATTAATTCAAAAGATAAATAAATAGAGACAAAGTAAATATATTATTTATTTATTTGTGTATTTTTTTATTTGCAATTAAACAAAACAAAACAGAACAACACTTAATTTTTCTAATTTATTTATAATAATTAATGAATTTTTTTATAGGCAAGTTATTTATAGGGTTCAACAATGCTCATACCCTCAGGTCTTTTAAAAACAAAACTTAGAGAATGATTTCTAGTTTGATCAAGCTTTTAAATCCACAAAAACTCAACTCTGACAGTTATGCTGAACCCTGGAGTTGAGTGTGGACGTGCTGTCAAACCCTGAACCTTTCAGTCACTCTGACATTCACCCTGCTGCTGCTGTCTGTCAGTCGCTTTTGTTGCCCTTTTTAAATATTGAAAATTACTTTTCTAGAAAAAAAAAAAAAAAAAAAAAAAAAAAAAAAAAACAGTGCCACCATTTAGTTTCTGACTCTATTCCAGAAACACATTTGCAGACATGTAATTAAATCATAAGCAATTGAGTTCCTGGGGCTTAAAAGTTTAATAGCACACAGTGATGAATACAAATTCAACCGATCAGTCAAGATCAGCATGAACAGTTTAAATCCCAGTGGGTCGTGCATAAATTAATTAATTTTAAAAAGGAGGGAGGAAAAGGGAAAAAAAATCCCAGCTAGGGAATTGAGGGAATTATGTATTCACAGATGTTGTTGTTTTTGCAAGAGCATGTTCAGGTTTCAGGTGCACTATAATATTATTACTTTTTGTTCATTTAATTCTTCTATTAGTATTCTTTCAAACTGAAATGCCTGTAAGATGACATGCACAAAGTGTCAGGCCCATAGTTCATGGTTCAAGTGGTTTGAAAGATTCACCCCCCACTGACAAAGTCCACAATTTAAACTTAACATGTGCTCGTTTGTCCTATTTTTGATTGCTATGCCATCATAAATTGTGGCCAAACTCTGACTGAGGAAAGTCGACTGAGATGGCCAGTTTATTTGTCAATAGGCTACACTTTTTAGTTTAAAATTTTTTTTACCAGATTCCTTCTTTTCTCAAATAATGGACGATAATAAATTTGTGTTTAAGTCTTTTTCATATTTCTTTATTAATATTTTTTACGTTATATCTACAACTGTAATAATTTACAGCTTAAATGCAAATTTGTAAATAAATACCTAAAGTATGACAAGCACATTGACAAAATTGTAGGAAATATTTTTAGAACATCAAAAAGTGTGATTGTGATCACAGTCCAACAAAAATTAGTGCTTAAAAGGTCACTTAAAAGCAGTATTTAAACCTCGAATGAGGTGAATAACTGCAAAAAGAACCATTCCTTTCAATAGGCTGGCCACAGGCCTGCATTTCCATTTGCTTACTTTGATATTATTGGAACAAAGGTACTATGATAGTAAGTGTCGCTTATAAAATGTGTACATGTCAATAAGAGTGCAAAACAGCTTTTCATACATACATAAAACATGATGTCTCTGTCAGGATAATTCAACCATTGTGAATCTGTGATCACTGTAATAATATGTTAATCAAAAATAACAATATGCATAAATAAGTGTTTAGTAAAAAAAAGGCATGGCAACCTTCAAAACATTAACAAAACACGATGCCTCTGACAAAGGTGGTTTACTTAAAATCACCAATAACAATTTAATTCTCAGCCCATCTTTGCTCCTAGAAGACTAGACATTTGTTGGACGCTTACTTTTGTAGCAAATCATAATTACAATCACCTGTTGACATCACCTGTTTCAAATCACGGCCTTATTTAACCAGTTTACCTAATTACTAGGCCTAAACTGCTCCTCTCACTAAATGAAATGATGTATATTTACAAATGAAATGAAGCTGACCAGACAAAACATGAAATATTTTGTGTTCATATTGTCTGAAATGAAATACAAATCAAAGTGAATTTGGAAATCACTACTTACTTTTTTTTGTTAGCGTTTTCTATACTGTCCCAACTTTTTCTGATTTGGGGTTATATATTTATTCTCTAGTCACCTGCTCTGCCTTGCCTTAAGCATTCAAGACACCTTTTTCGAGATTTTAACAGATATGTGTGTGTTGAGCATCAGTTAAGACAATGTTAGCACCTGTCAGCTTTAATTTTGGGGGAAAATGGGTAATTTCGAGCTTTTGTCAGCTAATTTTATCTTCCAGGTTAAATATAATTTTTGGGGCTGGATTAAATTCAGTGATGTAGCGTGAATCTGCTACTGAAGTGATGATGCGTCGGTTTATCATTGTTATTGACAGCCGAGTATTCTTATCCAATGAGAAGACCCTGCTTCCTAATTATTCATGACTGCACATGCTTTCCGAAGGCAAGGCAGACCTGCCAAGCTGTGATATACATACATGGGTGAGACCGTGGAAAGCAGTATTTAGCCATTCATGAAGGGTCATAACGTTATGTGTTTGTTTCCATGCTCCATGGGGTATGTTGAATGTTTTTCCCTGCTATGCTGTCAGGGCTGATACAGCAAAGCTATTCGTTTACAGCAAGTATTTTCGTCAAGAGAGCTGAACGAGAATTAGAGAATGGCAGACTTTGTCTTTTATCAGTTGAGTTTGTTACCATTCAGACAATCGCCTATCCGTGCTGCTGTGTTCGCCCATGATTAAATTCCTTCAGATTATCGGCAGGGCTAATGGTTGGAATACATAGGGAAAGAGATCTGCTGCACTGCTCCACTGTGAGGAGGAGAGACCCAAACCTCACAGGAAACAATCAGCATTTTTACATCACTTGATTCTATGTGTTTATGAGCCATTTTCATCAGGATCAAAATAAGGACAAGGACATAATTTACTGGTATTGCTATACTTGTTTGTTCTGTCTTCAGCATGCTGTTTTATTCTAAGCACCTCAGTCTAGTTGGTTTCGGTTTGCGCTGTGTTGAAACATGCATGTTACATGTGTAAATGCATGGTAAGTGTTTTATTTAACGTGTACTTGTGTCTTGCGTTCTGTCTCGTCTTGGTGTTATGTTGAGTACGTGGCTCCATGTTTACATATTGATCGTGTGCTTAAGTGATGTGTCTCGTGTGAACATACGGTTAATGAGTGAGATTGTGTTGTGTCTCCTGTCTATTGTCTAGTCCCATCCTCTTTGTTAGCCCATTATTAGTTTATTATGTTCACCTATTTGTTTGCCAACTATTACTCCTTTATAGCCTCCTCACGTCTGCTATACGGTGCCAGTTTGTCATCATATATTGTCTTGTCAAGTCTTGTTAAGTCTTGTCCAGCCTTGCCTTTCCCCGCCAACCCTGTCCAAGTTTGTTTTGGTCTTATGTTAATTTCTGGGTTGTTTTTGTTGCTTTTAGCTTTATTTTATAATTAATAAACCCATGTTTTTGCCTCTGCATTTGAGTCCTCGCTCATTTCCCCCTCCTGAAACCTTGACAATACTTGTATGACACTTAGTCCCCACAATTTAAAGAATAAAAGGTGCACAGACACAGAGAGATAGATCTGCTGAATGCCACTGAAGTCTGTTTGATCTCAAGAACATGATTATCGAATATTGTTCTAATCATTATCATGTTTCAAGAGGTGAAGGTCAGGTAAATTACATGAATTAATTAACCGCTTTGCATTTTCCGCCAGCAGGATCTGAAATCTAAATGATTTAATATACTTGTTTGACCAGATGAAAGGCATTTTGCCCAGAGATTAAGGCACATCCTTGTGTCTTCAAACTCTTTATATGTGTCTGTCTCTCTTTAAAATGTTCTCTTGATCAGCTCTCAGCCCGTGTTTGATAAATGAGCTTCTTGCAGTCATTTAGCACAGCAGCGTTTCTCTGTTTGCTGATGTTCGCTCATTAGCCAAACTAAGCTGATAACACTCAGGTAAATGTTCTTTTAAAAAGGTGAATGTGCTTAAACACAATGTGCATCGAGTCTCATTACAGAACAACCTGGAAGAGAGTTTTTGACAGTAATGACCATGCCAATGGAATAAACGTATGAATATGAAATTATATAGTAAAAGCTTATTTATAGCTTTGCTTGTGGTTGTGCTTGAGAAATATGGCTACATACACACACAATTTGACTGCTATTCAGTGTTTTTCCCCTACCGTTGTATTATTTATTTGCCTCGGTTGCACAAGTTGTGGAATTTATTTAGTTTTGTGTGTGAGATTCATGTCATTATGGCAACATTCAGCCAAACCCTTTTTTTTTACTAGACAATGTCTTAGACAAGTGCATTGTCAATACATAAAAACAACAATAATGATTTATAGTGCATTTCTACACTGCCTGAAAAAAGCCTTGTTGTTGATCTCAGTTGTAAGAGCAACAAACAACAACTTGACTTCTTGTTGTTCATTAGGAAAAGTGGCAGAAAGGAAAATAATCTGTTGAGCTGCATCCCAATCATCACAAATACTGCAGAAGACCTATTGGAACCCGCATGGACCCAAGATTCTCAAAGATATCGGTTAAGTTCGGTGAAGGAAAAAAAAATCATGGTTTTGGGTTACATTCAGTATAGAGGCATGTGAAAGATCTGCAGAGTGAATGGCAACATCAACAGCCTGAGGTATCAAGACATCTGTGCTGCCCATTACATTACAAACCAAAGGAGAGGGCTAATTGTTAAGCAGGATAGCGCTCCCTCTCATACTTCAGCCTCCACATTAAAGTTCCTGACAGCAAAGAAGGTCAAGGTGCTTCAGGATTGACCAGCCCAGTTATCAGACATTAACATAATTGAGCATGTTTGGGGTAAGATGAAGGAGGAGGCATTGAAGATGAATCCAAAGAATCTTGATGAACTTTGGGAGTCCTGCAAGAATGCTTTCTAAATACACATAATTAAATCTTTTTTCCACTGCACCATGACTCCATGATTTTATATTCTATATTGTGCATTATTTCTGTTAAGTGACAAGACTTTTGTCAAAGCAAAGTCAGACCTTCCTTTCCTAATTAAATAACAAAAAATCAGGACATGATCACATTTTATTTTGGTAAAATAAGCGTAATCTAGAGGCATTTGCCTTTCATGTAAGCCACTTCTGATACCACATGATCAACTAGAAGTCAAGTTATTATTTTTTGTTACTAAAACTTGGACAGGTGACAAGACTTTTATCAGGTGGTTTACTATAGCATCAAATATGTGCTCAGGGCTGCTGGACACACTTACTTACTTACTTACTTACTTACTTACTTACTTACTTACTTACTTACTTACTTACTTACTTACTTACTTACTTACTTACTTACTTACTTACTTACTTACTTACTTACTTACTTACTTTTATTTATTTATTTATTTATTTATTACTTACTTTTATTTATTTATTTATTTATTTATTTTTTGTATCACTAAAATATCTATAACATTTTTTGTTTGTTTGTTTTGAGCATTATAAACTCTAGAGGATGGATAGTAAAGCCTAACATTTCTTCTTTGCAAAGATATCTAAACTGGGAATGTAGATCAAATTATTCAGCAACTGTTATTGTTTTAGTTTGGGAAGGTAAATTTTGAGAAAGTTATTTTCATGCAATATCTGGCAACACTAATGAATCCAGATTCAACCTCATTGCCTGATTTCTTGCACCATGCATACAGAAGAGAGACAAAGCTCTGTTATTTTCCTTCTAGAATGGGTTGCTCATGTATTATTAAATTGTGTGTGTACCGAAAGTAGCTGCTATGTGTACGTAAGTGGCCTTTGAAAATCAGGCGGTGACTAACATAGTACATAAATAATGTGCAGTCAGTACAGAACCTGGAAGATCAGTTGTTAATAATGTATATAAACATATCTTAGAGATGTGTCTTGCTTGTGTGAGCACACGAACATACGAAAGCAACACGCACACAAACACTCACATACATTGCTCAGCATAATTGAGTAGTCCACTTTGAAAATGAATATTTGTATCTATTTCTCAGTGAATATAGGCAACGTATTGTGGTGGATTTAAATAAAACAGATTTATTAAACTGATATATTTATTAAAAAAATATTTTAGTCATCAGACGTATTTAAAAGCTGAAAATATAATACAATTAAATTCAAGCAAAATATTACAACTTATAAAATTTCAACTAAATTTTTCAGTTTTTTTATTTTTTTTTTATAAATTTGTATTTCATATTTTTCTATAACAAATACATTCGGGTTTACTAATTTTTGGACCATTATCAAAAGTTATTTTATTAAATAAGCTCCAGATTTGATTTCAGTATTGATTAATCTAATGTATATGCACAAATATAATATGAATTTAAAAGATATATTTGTGAGGGGTGAACTTATATATATATAAGCTGAGAGCTGTATACATACATACAGTTGAAGTCAGAATTATTAGCCCCCTTCAAATTTATTTCTTCTTTTTTTAATATTTCCCAAATTATGTTTAACAGAGCAAGGAAATTTTCACAGTATGTCTGATAATATTTTTTCTTCTGAAAAAAAATCTAATTTGTTTTATTTTGGCTAGAATAAAAGCAGTTTTTAATTTTTTAAACACCATTTTAGGGACAAAATTATTAGCCTCTTTAAGCTATATTTTTTCTCGATAGTTTACAAAACAAACCATTGTTATACAATAACTTGCCTAATTACCCTAACCTGCCTCGTTAACCAAATTACCTTAGTTAAGCCATTAAGTGTCACTTTAAGCTGCATAGAAGTGTCTTGAAAAATATCTAGTAAAATATTATTTACAGTCATTATGGCAAAGATAAAATAAATCAGTTATTAGAGATGAGTTATTAAAATTATTATGCTTAGAAATGTGCTGAAAAAACCTTCTCTCCATTAAACAGAAATTAGGGAAAAAATAAACAAGCGGTCTAATAATTCAGGGGGGCTAATAATTCTGACTTCAACTGTACATACATACATACATACATACATACATACATACATACATACATACATACATACTTACATACATACATACATACAGAGAGAAAAACATACAAGCCTTGATCAATTTGTGTTGCCAGATTTTGTAAAAAAAAAACATTTAATTAAAAAATCTACACTTTGTGTATCACACCAGCACACTTAAAAGACTTCAAAGGCTTGAGCCAATCCCAAACAACATGCCTGAAATGTAATTCCTATAAAAAGTAGACATGACAACTCAAGAGTGTGCTATTTGAAGCAATATTACGTGAAAAAAAACACAATGTCAAAGATTTAGCTGAAATCGCAGAAAATAATAGCCGATATTAAACATGTCAAGTCTCAACTATAAGTTACAGTGTCAATCATCACAATTTATTTCATATTTTGTACAAGTAAAGATTACTTAGTGGATTTATTCCAATTTTATTTAATCTGAAAACATAAAGCTGAAGTCAGAATTATTAACCCTCCTAAAGTGGTAATCACTGCAGAGCCACTTGGGCAGAGCTAAGCTCCAGCAAGGGGGAGTTTGAGCTCCAGCTCCGCCTTCCTTGCACTTCTTCTACAAGTGATGTCACTGGGGTTGGGGTTATTGGTGGGTGTACGCATTAAAACAGCTTATAGGAGGAGGAGTTGGAGCTCAAGCTTCCCCTCATTGGAGCCCAAGTGGCTCTGTAGCTAGCAGGGTCTCAAATTTTTTGTTCCCCCTTTGTATTTATTTCAGCAATATTCGTTTAATGGAAGGAAGATTTTTCTAACACATTTCTAAACATAATAGTTTCAATAACTAATTTCTAATCACTGTAGAGGCTGCAGACAGGAAAGTATTGGGAGCAGAGAAAGGGGAAGAGTTGGCGAAGGAGCTTGAGTCGGGAATCGAACTCAGGTCGACGTGAGCACCATGGTGTTATATGTCGGCACACTTACCCACTAGGCTATTGGCACTGACAATCACTGAATTATTTTAGCTTTGCCATAATGACAGTGCATAATATTTTACTAGATTTTTTTCAAGATACTGTAGTATTCAGCTAAACTAGGCTAATTAGGAACACTCTGTATAACCTGACATAATATAAATGAACAGACATTATAAAGAGATCAGGAACGGTGTAGTGTGGTAGATATTGTAAACTCTCACCCCTCCTGGATGGCCGTCAGATGCAGTGACGATGAGACGGTACTGGTCAATGGTCTCTCTGTCCAGAGGTTTGGCCAGCAGCAGAAGACCTATACTGAACAGACACAAAACACTTACATTCAATTTTCTTTTTCAATTATTTCCTTTACAGCCAATTACTTTTAATTATTATAGATTTGGACCAATACATTACAAAGAAGGAACAAAAAAACAAAGTGTTTAGTCTGATTTGAGGAAAGTGATGAATCGAAGGGAAACTCATTTAAAAGAGCATTTCAGTCTAAATTGAGTTGTGTTCTTTCCAACCTCTCTGATGCTTTTCTTACATCATTTGAAAGCTGAATAAGCATATAGGATAGGTACAACTGTTTGAAAACCTAAATATTGAGAGAATTGCCTTTAAAACTGGAAATCAAATTGAACAAAAAACAAGCTTTGATATATTTATGGTATGAGATTTAAAAATGCTTTCATAGAACAGATATTTAATTATTTAAATGATTTTGAAGAATGATGGATAATTGCAAAAAATAGTGTATTAAAGTATTTCAGAAACTGCTGATCTACTGGGATTTTCACACACAGGATTTATAGAGAATGGTCTGAAAAAGAGAAAATCTCCAGTGAGTGGCAGTTCTGTGGGCGCAAGTGCCGTGCTGATGCCAGAGGTCACAGGAGAATGACCATACTGGTTCCAGTTGAGAGAAAAGCAACAGTAACTCAAATGTTGTAACTCAAACGTTACAACAGAGGTATGCAGAAGAGCATCTCTGAATGCACAACACATCCAAACTTGACGCAGATGGGCTACAGCAGCAGAAGACCACACCAGGTGACACTCCTGTTAGCTAAAAACTGGAAACTGAGGCTACAATTCACACAGGCTCACCAAAATTGAACAATAGAAGATTGGAAAAATGTTGCCTGGTCTGATGAGTCTCTATTTCTGCTGCAACATTTGGATGGTCGGGTCAGAATTTGAAGTCAACAACATGAAAGCATGAATCCATCCTGCCTTGTATCAACGGTTCAGGCTGGTGGTGGTGGTTTAATGGTGAGGGGGATATTTCCTTTACACTTTGGGCCTATTAGTACCAATTGAGCATCGTGTCGACACCAGAGCCTACCTGAACATTGTTGCTAATCATGTCCATCCCTTTATGACCACAGTGTACCCATCTTCTGATGGCTACCTTCAGAAGGATAATGCGCCATGTCAAGCGTGAATTATCTCAGACTGTTTCTTTAACATGACAATGAGTTCACTGTACTCAAATGTCCTCCACAGTCACCAGATCTCAATCCAATAGAGCACCTTTGGGATGTGGTGGAACGAAAGATTCACATCATAGATGTGCAGCTGACAAATCATCTCAATTTGAACCAAAATCTCTGAGGAATATTTCCAGCACCTTCTTGAATTTATGTCATGAAGGATTAAGGCAGTTCTGAAGTCAAAAAGGGGTTCCAACCCGGTACTAGTAAGGTGTGCCTAATAAAGTGACCAGTGAGTGTAGGTTTTAAATGATATAATGATGATATTATTGATGACAAAATTTGATCCAAATCTACAGAGTAAACTATCCTATAAATGCAGGGAAGATATGCATAATTATGATGTACACACAATTCTGATAGGAGACACATACAACAAATCAGAATGACCCGCAAAATGTGGAGAAATGGTGATTTTTAATTGTTTGTGTCATGATCTGATCTGAATAATTCCTTTGGTGAATCGGGAGCCACAACAACATGGTAAATAAACACTGTTATCTATGATTACAAATCAACAAGCAATTCAAACGATCATCCATGCTGAACTGCTGGCCACAGGGAGGCCATTATCATTTGTGAACCAATCAGATTTCAGAAAATCAGCAGGCTCATCCTACAGTGAGCTCACACATGTCTGTTGTGTTGGCAGAAGAGGATAGACAGACTCTGTTAACATTGCAGTCACACACAGCAGAAGAAGCAGGCTGCTGTGATGCTCGCTCATGTTTGTGTGTGTATGTGTGTGTGTGAGCGTAGAATTATATTTCTCCTCAGTTGACCCCTACAAAAGTGATATTGAACGTGTCCTCTGTAGCCTGTGAAACAGCCATATAAAACACTTCAGTGACTGGGATTCTCTTTTCTTTTGGCCTCACAAACCTTCTGCTGGCTGACAAGAATTGCAGGCAAAGACTTTAAATTTTAACACCTTATTTTAACGACTCTTCAACTGTCTAGGCTGTTGCTTCAACAGACAAAATCCTTTGTTATACAAGTCAATGAAGGAGGGTTTAATTTCAGAAGTCACCCCACAAAACCTGTCCTGTTATTACAAATGGCACAGAAGAGAATAAAAGAGAAGTGAGGTTAAGAGAAAAGAAGAGGAGCAGAGAGAAAAAATTAGGAAAAAAAGAGGAGAAAATATAGTATGAGAAGACAATATATGAAAAGATAAGAGAAAAGATGAGAAAAGACGGGAGACAAGACGAGGCAGGAAGAGAGGAAAGGAAAAAAGAGACAAGAGATTAGCTGAGAAAAAAAAAGAAGAGAAAATAAGCAATGAGAATTTATGAGAAGAGAAGAGACTATATGAGAAAAAGTTAAAAGAAAAAAGGGGTGAGAAGAGACAAGAATATATAGAAATAATTGACAATATATGAGAAGAGAACATATGACAAGAAGAGAAGAGAAGAGAAAAGAAGAGAAGAGGGTAAATGCACAGCTAGTGTTTCTTCTCATCCTGATAAACTTTTTAAATGAGGTTTTTAAAGAAAACAGACCTTAAATGTGTTGATTTAGTAACGGCATACAGTTCACTAAAAGTGCTTGACCCAGGTTACAGAAAAATGTAAAGTCCTTCGGCATAATTTTGCATATACCCTATATATGAAAATAAATGAGAATATGTGAGAAGAGAAGAGATGAAAAGAGACTAGATGAGAGGAGGCGAGAACATGAAAATAAATGAGAATATATGAAAAGAGAAAAGAAGAGAAGAAAAGAAAAGTGAAGAAACAAAATCTAAAGAGGAGAATACATGAAAATAAATGAGAATAGAGAAAATGAGAAGAGAATATATGAAAAACAAATATATATGAGAAGAGAAAACACTAGATAAGAAGAGAAGAGAAAAGACTAGATCAGAAGAGAGAAGTCTCTTTTCATATATAAGAATATATGAGAAGAAAGAGAAAAGATGAGACTAGAAGAGAAGAGAAGAGAATAATAATATATGAGTAGAGAGAAGAAAAAAGAGACAAGAAGAGACTAGATGAGAAGAGAATATAAGAAAATAAATGAGAATATTTGAGAAGAGAAGAGATGAGAAGAGACTAGATGAGAAGAAAACAGAATATAAGAAAATAAATGAGAATATATGAGAAGAGACGAGAGGAGAAGAGAGGAGAGAAAGAGTAGAAGAGACTAGATGAGAAAGGAAAAGAAGAGAACAGAAGAGAACAGAATAAATGATAATATATGAGAATATATGAGAAAAGAGGAGAGAAAAAAGACGAGAAGAGACAAGATGAGAAGTAAATAGAATAAGAATATAAATGAGAAGAGAAAAGAAGAGAAGAGAAGAGAAGAGAAGAGAAGAGAAGAGAGAAGAAGAGAAGAGAAGAGAAGAGAAGAGAAGAGAAGAGAAGAGAAGAGATGAGACTAGATGAGAAAAGATAATATATGAAAATAAACAAAATATATATGAGAAAAGATGAAGACTGGATGAAAATAAACTAGATGAGAAGAAACTATATGAAAAGAGAAAATAAAAGAAAAGAAGAAATGAGAAGAGAATGTGAAAATAAATGAGAATATATGAGAAGAGAAGAGACTAGATAAGAAAGAAGAGAAGATACTAGATGAGAAGTAAAAAGAATATAAGAAAATAAATGAGAATATATGAGAAGAGACGAGAGGAGAAGAGAGGAGAGGAAGAGTAGAAGAGACTAGATGAGAAAGGAAGAGAACAGAAGAGAACAGAATAAATGATAATATATGAGAATATATGAGAAAAGAGAAGAGAAAAAAGACGTGAAGAGACAAGATGAAAAGTAAATAGAATAAGAATATAAATGAGAAGAGAAGAGAAGAGAAGAGAAGAGAGAAGAAGAGATGAGAAGAGAAGAGAAGAGAAGAGAAGAGAAGAGAAGAGAAGAGAAGAGAAGAGAAGAGAGAAGAAGAGATGAGACTAGATGAGAAAAGATAATATATGAAAATAAACAAAATATATATGAGAAAAGATGAAGACTGGATGAAAATAAACTAGATGAGAAGAAACTATATGAAAAGAGAAAAGAAAAGAAAAGAAAAGAAGAAATGAGAAGAGAATGTGAAAATAAATGAGAATATATGAGAATAGAAGAGACTAGATAAGAAAGAAGAGAAGAGACTAGATGAGAAGTAAAAAAAAGATGCAGTGGGAGGAGAAGAGAACAAAACAGAAGAGAAGGTATAGTATGAGAAGAGACTATATGGAAAGACAAAAAAAGAAGAGACAAGAGTATGTAAAGGTGCAAGAAAACGTCAGGAAGACAAAACCAGGTAAGAGCAGAGAAAGAGAAAAAAAGAGGAGAGGAAGTGAGACTACATGAGAAAGAATGGCAATAAATCAAGAAATCAAATCCAGAAGAGACTAAAAAGAGAGAAATAAAATGAAATCAACTGAAGTTAGATGATGCAGATAAACTGAGGCATGAAGAAACTAAACGATATGAGAAGAAACAAGATGCAAACAAATGAGGAGATGAGATATGGCGAAACAAGCCAATGCAAGATGACAAGATAAAAAGAGGATAGAAAAGCAGATGAGACAAAACACAATCAAAAGTGGCGTGATCCGATGAGACAAGATGTGGTGTGAAGAGACAAGATGAGACAACACAAAGTAAAATAGAGATAAGACGAGACAGTCTGAGAGACAAGATGAGATGATATGAGATGAGACAAAATGAGAAAACGTAGCAGCAAAAGAGACAAAACAAGGTGAGATGAGATAGTAGAACAGATAGCTTAAGACATGATGAGATAAGAAGTGAAAAGCAGACACACGATAAGAAGAGATTTAACCAGACCAGATGAAATCAGACAAGGCAAGGCACAGAAAAACAAGACAAGATGAAAGATGAGGAGAAGAGACAAACCCGCTGAACAGAGAAGGTGAGGTGAGATAAAGAAAAAAAGAAAAGAAAAAAATAGATGAGGTGAAACGAGAAAGTCAAAGCAGGAGACATATATAGTACTAGCGCTACCCTTTTGCTCTCTGGATTCTCACATCACTGCTGTTACTATTAACAATAGTCTTAAGTGTGTTTCATTAAGAGTCATTTATGAATCAACAATGTGCTGTTTAATGAAGCCTTTCTGTTTCGCTCCCACTCACACAAATGTTCACACTGTAACCCTGCTAGTGTGTTTTTCTCGTCTTCATTCCTCCAACGCAGTATTCTTAGATTGAGGTTATGTTTACTAGTGCATTTACATTAAAAGGAAAAAAAAAAACTTCAGAGTTCACTTCAATTCACTTCTTCATTTCTTTTTTTACCTTTAAAGGGTCCCTATAATGAAAATAAACTTTCGTAAGCTGTTTGGACAGAGCTGTGTGTAGGTATAGCGTGTCCACAGTCATATTGGAGTGATAGAATCACAATAAGTCTCTTTTTTTTAATTTCCAGATGTTCAAACAGCATCCCAATCCCTCCCATTTTGATGCCCAACGCAACGTGACATAGGAGTACGGTTTTCCCGCCCACAGAATTGATTGACAGCTGCATATTAACATGTCTCCATAGGAACACGTATAATCATATCCACAAGACAGGACGTGCGCAAAGCAGCCGGGATTAAAAGATCTGTTCAGCTCTCTGTGATCATCAATCATCATCAAATGTGATCAAGAATGAAGTTTAAAACATTTTTAAAACAGTGGATGTTTGTAATGAATTACAGCGATTTACTTCAGCTTTACTTTATCACCACAGCCGCATGTCAGTACAATTATAAAAGAAGACGCTTCAATCCTGGTTTGTGGACGATATATCAGGTTTACTTTGTACATTAATATAACGGATATCCATACAGCAGTGGATATTACTGTGAATCCTGTCACATTTGTGTGCAAAAACAGTGCAAAGTTAATTGCGAGCGATGTGTGTGTGAACTTTGTAAAAACATTGTGACTCATCTTTCTCATCGACTCAACTCCAATACAAATACATCAAATAATCATTGGGAAATTTCTCACTGTAGTATTTCTCACAAACGTTACATGAGATCTGCTTCCTTCATGTCTGTCACTGTGTTGTTTAACTGACGCAACCGAGGTGGAGATTGAGGCACACTCTTACAGGCACGTGGAAACTGTGGACAAAAACAGCTACATGGTGTTGAGAGCAGAAAATTCCAACATTCTAAAAGGTATAATAAATAATCTGACGGGTGTTTTGAGCAAAAACCTTACAGACACATTCTGAAGACACAAAAGACTCATCTTAAATCTTGAAAGGGGGTAAAACAGGTGTCCTTTAAAATCAGAGTCGTTTACTAACACTAGGGTTTTGTTTTGTTGTTGTTTTAACCAAAATGAAAACTTCTAAAGACAAAGGCTTTGTCTACAAAAATTCAAATAAATTCTAAAACTGTTTTCGTCTACAAATGCTCAATGTCCACACTATTATTTTAAATTCCTTCTCTCATCTGTACTAAAACATCTGAAAATGCTTTCTTTCATGTACTGGCGCATGAGCACAGACATAAGATGATTTTATCTGCGTCATATCCACCTGGCATTTATTTACTTTCCATCTCTTTGAAACATCACGGCAAAATGTCATAACTGGTGTCTGCTTCTGCTGCTGAACAATAGCTCCCAGTAAACATTCTGTGTCCTTTAAACAGAGGCAATACCGAGCATGTACAAACTGACATAACAGTTTAATAGGTCACATGACTAAAATGCTTCATTGTTTTTCTTCGAAAGCCACCGTTTTAACATTACACACTGCAATACGAAAAGGATGTTTTTAAATTTATGCACTTTGGACAAGGTTTTCAAAAAGCTACATTTTAATTTGCTAAAAACGCCATCTCAGTATGAATAGGCTAAAATGGAGAAAAAAAGTGTTTTTAAACAAAAATGTGTCAGGTTGGTTATGGCCAAAGGTATTCCTTCCCTGGCTCTTCTGGAACATTGTTTTCTTTTCTGACTCTAAAGGTTCTAATCACATGACCATTTCAGTGAGAGGCCATTTACACCACATTTAAAAAAAAAACATTTTATGCATTTTACATTTTACATTTACATTTAGTCATTTAGCAGACGCTTTGATCCAAAGCGACTTACAAATGAGGACAAGGAAGCAATTTACACAACTATAAGAGCAACAATGAATAAGTGCTGTAGGCAAGTTTCAGGTATGTAAAGAAAAAGTAAGAAGCAAAACATTAGTATTTTTTATTTTTTTTTTTAGTTAGTGGAGGAGTCAGAGAGGGAATTTCATATTAGTAACGAAAGTGGAGACTAAATAGTTTTTAGAGTTTTTAGTCGTTTTTTGAAGACATTGAGAGCTTTTCGCATGTTCGTTTACATGACAATGTCTTTTTTGTGGCTGAAAATGTATACATGCATATAAAAGCGCTGCTGTTGTTGTGCCGTGATGGGCCCATTGGTTAATCTGGCCAAAACCAAAATATGACATTTTATAATGCACAATAGGGGATCTTTAAAAACTATTATTATATTCCCTTACTCCTACCCCCAAAAAGCACCTGTGATACATTTTAAATGAAGACCCTGTTAAGTATGAATTATAAGAGTTTTGATTAACAAGACACAAGGCATGTCCTTGTAAACCAGATAAAAATTGTGATAACTAGGTCCACCAAATCCAGCATTATTATTTCAACATTATGTAAAATTAAATATTATTGTGCCCGTGTAATCATTTGAAAATGAAAGTGTTTAAAAATGGCAATGCCATGCTTGCATTTAGTATGTGGTTAGGGAGGTATAGATTAAGTGCAAACAAACACAACGATGACAGAGTATATGGTACTGTTGTTGCCTATGTGTTTGCTAATGCAAAGTGTGGATTTTCTTTCTTTTTAGCTTACAACCAACAGCAGAGACACATCTTACACTGAATTCTACATACACATAAACACTGAGCTGCCGATGACATGACATCATGTCTTCTAACAAGGTGACTGGCCTGGCATATGTAATACAGCATTTTTGATTGCTTTAAGTAACATATAAAAGGACAGCCCAATAATAATAGATTATGGCATATTTTATACAATCCACGAGACTGCAAAATAAATTTATTAAGTCTGGATTAGGCCAAAATAAAAAAGTAGAAAAAAGTAGGAGCTTACAGTGTTACAAGAAAAAAATTAAACACAAATAAGCAATAGCATGATGCATTTTTTATTTTATTTTTTGGTCTGTCCTCAAGCTTAAATTTCAATATTTCAAGCCTATGAATAAAAATAATCACAATGCATTCTTTGGTCGCTACAATATTATTATAAGGTTTTATCTTGTTCTCTTTTACTAGTCAAAATGTAAATACATTGTTTTAACCTAATGATTGCGTTTGTTCTTTTTTAGTTGAACACAAAAGAAGACAATTTGAAGAATGTTGTAAACCTGTAACCCTTCACTTCCACAGTATTCGTTTTCCTTCTATGGGAGTCAATGGTTACAAGTTTCAGAAAGTTCTTTAAAATATCTTCTTTCGTGTTCAACAGAAGAAAGAAAGTCATAAAGTTTGCAACCACTTGTGGGTGAATAAATAGTGAGCATATTTACATTTTTGGGTGAAACCGTGGGTGATTTTTTTGTATCTTTAATCTTTTGAATCAGTTAGAGTGACACTGTTAGGGGGTTATATATATTAGTGTCTGAAATATATACATTCCTACTGAAACGTTTATTTATTAATGAAAACTTACGTTCGTGAAAGGTTGAAGACCTCCTGTGGGTCACCGGTCTCTATCCGGTAGGTGATTGGATCCAGCTCACGGTCTGTAGCCTGTGGGAATACACCAAATTATACTCTATTCACACCAGTCTTCTCAAAAAGAACTGCTTGGAGAAACAGAAAAATCAATGTAACATGAAATCAATTGCAGAAAAAAACAATACTTAAATGAAAAGGCCAAGTCTGCTTGAAGAACATGATGAACGAAAGTAGAATCAGTGACATTTTGCAAAGACGTATACATTTATAACACTAAATCTTTTGCCAGGTTTTCTCGGATACACATTTCCTTTTGTCTGCACTTGACTAGGATCATATAAATATTTGATTACAATACTATCAGGGTGGCAATGCAGTGGCACAGTAGGTAGTGCTGTCGCCTCACAGCACGAAGGTCTCTGGTTCAAGCCTCGGCTGGGTCAGTTGGCATTTCTGTGTGGAGTTTGCATGTTCTCCCTGCCTGACACAGGGGGTTTCCTCCGGGTTCTCCAGTTTCCCTCATAGTCCAAAGATACGTGGTACAGGTTATTGGGTAGGCTAAATGTTCCGTAGTGTATGAGTGTGAATGAGAGTGTGTGGATGTTTCCTGGAGATGGGTTGCAGTTGGAAGGGCATCCGCTGCATAAAAACCTGCTGGATAAGTTGGCGGTTCATTCCGCTGTGGCAACCCCGGATTAATAAACAGACTAAGCCAAAAAGAAATTTTTACACAAATATCTGTATTTTCTACTCTCTACATTTTTAAATCCTGGTCGTTACTTTCGATATCATGTGTTTGGTCGCGCAATCTATATTATTTACTATGTCATTGTACAATTTAAGCGCCTTTTTGATGCAATCAAACTATTTTTCGTCATTGTGTCTCACTCAGACATCCGCCACGCTACTGAAAAATGTAGTTAAGCTAGTAACGTTGTCACCGACACGGCCCAGTCATTCCCCTCGCTGGCCAGCAGAGGTCACCATCACCAGACTTCTAACCATTACGTCATGCTCAAACACTGATTGCTACACACCTGCAGCATATCTCACTGATGACCCACACACACACATATAAGCAGTTCAAACACTCACTCCATTGCGAAGTCTTGTTCTGCCCCAGCTGACATTACTGAGCGTTCATCTCCTTGCCTGATCTCCCCGTGTATTACCTGGACTGTTCCTTGACCTTGCCTTGCCTTGCCTGCCTTGAACCTTACTCTGTACCTCGCCTCTGACCCATGCCTGCTATCACACTCCTTGACAGCCAGCCGCCAGCCCTTAGACCCAATATAACTACGTTTGATGTGAGTTCGCACACTAGTGCTTATTGTGTGATTGTGATTAAACTGTGTTTAATAAATATACTGCAAATGGATCCCTCTGTGTCAGACTCCTCGTTACAAACCTCACTACTTGTAGCGATGCTACTGCCCAACACTGAGTATTTCTTTTACGCAGGTAATGTTCTGTTTTAAAACTATTTTAGTCAGGCAAAGCTAAGGTAGATTTTGTTGTTACGAATGGGTTATATGCACAGAAGTGTTGTTCACTAGTGTTGACACTAAAGTCTTCTGGCGAAAGATTAATGTGACTATTTTCAGTTTCATAAGGGACCTTTTACATCATGGATAATGTAGATTTTTATTAAGGTTAACAACATCAGTAAATAGCGCTATTCCACCTAGCCTGCTTTATTGAGCTGAAGGTGATTTTTATATTCAGATTGGTTCATTTTTGAACAATGCTACTTTGAATATTCGGTCTAAAATAGCATTCAAGTATGGCTTAGAATGAAGTGTTATTTCTGAACGACTAAGCATTGGCTTTAGGACAAAGTGTGTGAGGGAGTGAGACCAGCGAAACTTGCATGCATGAAATTTTGCACATTATGACAAGTTTTGCTTGCTACACAACTGAAAACATGTTGGATATAATAGTTTGTCCTTCAGAATAGTAGTATTATAAAGTTTTCTAACTGGCAAATGACAGGATCTAGTGGGACTCTGTCATCTTAAATGTGCGTGTTTGTTTTTTCAAGAGGCATGGCTTTGGACAGCAGGTATGGGATTGTGTTTCAAAGATATACTAACCAGTTTACATTTTGACAGATCACCTACTGCACCCTTAAGGCCTAATATTTTGTTTTTGAATTTTACCATTTAAAAACTTTATAATACCTTGCAGACATTGATTGCACAACAAATAATTATCAGAACATTCTAATTACATTTAACAATAAATAGAAATGTACATTTAAAACCGAAGAGATTCATAAGAAGTCTAAACCGAGACATTAAATAAATGTATATGTGTAGTCATGTTCAGAATGGATTATTACAAACGACTACTTCAGCACTATCTTTACTGTGCATTCAGTAGTATGCTAATTTTCTGCACGCACAGAATACCCACATGACCTACAACATTTATCAAGATATGCGGTACACAGAAGTTCATCCTGCGTGGGATGCTGCACTCCCATAATGCAGTGCGCTCAACCTGACCTTCAATTTACAGTGTATCTGCCAACATCCTATTTTTTTCCCCCATAACTTGATCGGACTGCAAACACTTAAGAACAGGCTTTACAAACTTATTGACCCATGAATTTTCATCACTTTTTCAGTAAATCATGATCTGTGGATAAGTGTTATTGCTTTATAGCACAAATTCATTAAAATCGATAAAAGAAAATAATAAAACGTATAATAAAAAAAGAATAATATAATGATAAAAATCTATTTATCTATCTGTCTGTCTGTCTGTCTATTTATATATGTGTTTGTTTTCTTTCTTTCTTTCTTTCTTTCTTTCTTTCTTTCTTTCTTTCATTTGTCCATCAACCCTGCTTTTGTCAATCCATCTATACATTTTTGTCCATTCATCTATCCTCCATTTGTTTCTTCCATCCATCCATCCATCCCTCCATCCATCCATCTCTTTCATCGTCCGTCCGTCCATCCATCCATCCATCCATCCATCCTTCCATCCACCCATACATTTCTTTTACTCATCCATCAATCCATTTTTGTCCATCCATCCATCCATCCATCCATCCATCCATTCGCCCACCCACCTACACATCCATCCATCTTTTTCATCCATCCATATTTTACATGCATTCTCCATTTCTTTTCTCCATTCATACATCCATCTCTTTTGCCCAATCCTCCATCCATCCATCCATCCATTTCTTTCAAAAATCTGTCCATTCATCCATCCATCCATTTCTTTCAAAAATCTGTCCATCCATCCATCCATCCATCCATCTATCTATTTCTTTTGTCCATCCATCCATCCATCCATCCGTCCACCCTCCCACACACCCACCTATCCATCAATCCATCCATCTTTTTCATCCATTTATATATAACATGCATTATCTATTTATTTTCTCCATTCATACATCCATCTGTTTTGCCCAATCATCGATCCATCCATCCATTTCTTTCATAAATCTGTCCATTCATCTATCCATTCATCCATCCCTCCATCCATCCATCCATCTATCCATCCTTTACTTTTTTCCAACGTTTTCATCCATATATCTTTTTCATCCATCCATCTATTACATACATTCTCCATTTCTTTCCTCTATTCATACATCCATCTGTTTTGCCCATCCATCCATCCATCCATCCATCCATCCATCCATCCATCCATCCATTTCTTTCCTACATTCGTCCATTCATCCATTTCACCCATTTATTTCTTTTGTCCATCCATCCGTCCATCCATCCATGCATCCTTCCTTCCATCCATCCATCTATTTCCTTTTTCCATCCATTCATCTATCTATCCATCCATTTTTTTTGGATGAAAGAAATAAATGTAAACAATATTTGATCAATATTAATAATTTAAGCTTCAAAAAGCATGCAGAAATATCGCTTACATTTATAAAAATAAATTGAACTTTACATGATATATTATTTTTGTATTAAAAAAAAAAAACCTATTAATTAGGCCCTGAACTGAAAATATTTTAAAAAAAATTAAATTTACATGTTTTGCATGACCACTTATAAATAACATTGGGGGAAAATTAAATTAGGCAATATTCCAAAGTCAGTGTGTACCTGCAGGTTGAGCAGTATGGCTCCTATCCTCATGGCCTCGCTGATCTCCAGGTTGTAGGTCTGTAAGGGGAATCGTGGAGGACTCTGATTGTTGGGTGGCAGAACTTCTATGTAAACCGTAGTAATGGAGCTCCTTCACACATAAAGAAAGAATAAGAAATAAAGACACATGCAAAAGCTGAGAGCAGAATATGATGTAATGTGTTCGTATCTGACCTCCTCTCAGTGTCAGGAGCATTGTCTGCAGCTCTTACGGTCAGTGCGTATGAACGGCCGACAGTCAGCATGACCCCTGGTGCTAAAGTGATTCGTCCTGTACGGTTGTTGATGATGAAATCCCCGTGATCTCCAGCCAGTATGGCATATGTGATGAGGCCGTTTAAACCAGCGTCAGCGTCCTGAGCCATCAGCTAAAGAACAAACACAGACAGTTAATCATTTATTGTAGCCTGTTTTATTGTCTCTGTGTATGACGTTATAGTTTTTAATGGTGCTTAATAGCATTGTATTCATTCATCTAATGTGTTTATGAGTGATCGATCCATTTAAAATGACTAAATCAAAAAAGTACTGTATAACATTGAAAAAAAATTCAAACATAAAATTTAATGCAATTTCCATGACTTGTTTTGGTTTATATAACAGTTTTGTCTGGTTCTCGAGTCTGATTGGCTGATAGCCGTGTGATATCAGAACTCGTACAGCTTCTTCAGTCTTGTGTATTACTCCACTCACATAGAGTGACAGCAGATCAATAAACTCACTACAGTTTGACAAATATTGCAGCAGTTGGACAACATAATGTACTTTTGAGGTTTTCTTAGGTAAGAATGTAGTTGGTTTGATTGCAGCTATGGCAGTTTATTTATAAGGATAGTGGCTATTTTAAATATTTTTAATTTTGGAGATTCAGCGCGTCGGTGGACAGTTATGACTATAAAAAAATTATAAAACTACAAACTGTTGCACATTTTTGTGTTGTCAACATGCTTGTGTTTATTTAGTTCCTATTGGTGTGTATGAGCCATTGTGTGCAATGCTTGTATATTTAGAACCACCTCTGAGGATAGTGCGAATTACGAGTCAATGTAATTTTGGGGATAACTGGCTTAAAAGATAGGAAACCCCTACTATACTCCATTTAAAAGCAAGACACTAAGCTTTTTTTGCACTGCAACTAATGATAAACAGTAAAAAAAAAAAAAAAAAAAAACTATCAAGAATGCATGATTATAGGATGTAAAGGCTTTGCAAAGAAAAAGTCATTATAATGGAAGTCAATAGGGCAAAAACAGCCACCAACATAACGAAAGGGTAGTTCATTTGCACAGAGTGTATTGTTAAGTTTAAAATAGTCAAGCATTTTCCCAAAAAAATATGTCAAAATACGATTTTTCACCAAAAAGCATTTCATTTGCTGAAACACAGAGAAAGCTGTGGCCAAAATCCAATTCTATTTTTTGTACCTCTTTCACATGGTCCTTTAAACAGAGTGTGAAGAGGAAGGGCTTCAAAATTTACCTCTAAAAAATAGGACAGCACTACAGCACCTGCACACGTCATCATATGTCATCGAGATCTCTTGCTTCATAAGAGATCAGATGATCGCGACTGCTGTAGTGATTCCAGTTGAGTTATTTTTGGTATTTATCTCCAGGAAATTGCTGAAGGCATATATCATGTTATCATAACAATATGATGCGCCAATAGGATATTAACTGTACTGCGCATTTACACAGTGGCCATATTCATCTATGTAAACACACAAAAAACAACATTAACATTTTAGCAGACACTGTTAAAAGCTCATTTCCAGTCACTAGACTTTACTGACAGGGTATTCCAGTGTCATCGAGTGTCAGAATGTTGTGGGACAACTATACAGTAGTTATTATTCGGGATTATAGATAGCGAAATCTAGTGTTTTTATTTTAGTGTTTGTTTTTTTACCATGATGGTAAAACAAGAACGCTGTTATGAATGTATTAAAAAAAGTGTTCATTTGGTGTAAAAATTTGCAATAATGACAAAAAAATACTAATTTGTGCATCGCCTGACTTCCGAGTGCAGCCACTCTGCTGTTGTAGATGGTCTATCTTGTCTTCGTAAAAGTGTAATGTTGTTTTGCAGTTCCCGGCCACTGTACCTTCCCTTTAGCCCTATGCCTTCAAGCTAAAGTGAATTGGGACAGGTAAGTGTTAAGGGTAGAATTGGGATTGGGCCTAAGCTTCAAAACTAGGGCTGAGCAGTATATCGGGTTCTGGGGATATGTCAATATGATTCCCCAACAGTATTAACCAATATAATTCATATCAATATAGTTTGAGGCCACACGTGCGCTTTCTGCGCGAAACAGACCACTCCAAGGTAGCACATGAGCTCCACTTGCACAAATGTATAATATTTGTTCAAAATCAATGAATCATTCAAGAATGACCCATCACTAGATGTGACATGGAGGTAGGAACATGCAGTGCCGGTGTTGTATCTAAATCTGGCTGCCCGGACAATTCTGACTCCCCTCTGATTCCTGTGCATGTCACACAGCTCCTGCAGCTGTCACAGCGGTTTATCAGAAACCATTTATCGATCATTTCTTCCATAAATGACAGTAAGAATGACCGTAGAAGCCTTGTCAAATTGACAAGCAGCACCTGAATGTGTTCAAAAGAATTAAAAATGTCAAAATAGGAAGAATTTATAGCGCATTTCGAAAGTGAAGCCACCTCATACTCATTGATTATAAGTTCAGCATTTATTACACGCCGGTCTCTTCTTTACATTTATGTTATAACTCATTAACTCTGCGTTCTGCTCTGTTATAATTTGCTTATTAATAATGCTTATTTATGTGCTTAACCAGCATTTCATCACAGTACTCTGAAACAATTTCATTACTTTTCATTTCTATAGTCTATTTGTTTTCATCTCTAATATTTAATATTTTGTAAAATAAGTTTAGTCAAAAAAAAAAAAAAAATGAAAAAGTGTAGGATTTTTTGCATGGAGTGAACGACTTCTCTTTAGATATCCTGGATATGTGCACTGTTTAATAATTGTGCACAATACATACATAAAACAACATATAGAGCTGATTTAATTGTTTATAAACCACACAACTGTGGTATACAGGATTACTTATAACAACACTGTAATTGTGAGATAAAATATTGTGTTTCATATTTACAATCAATGTGGTTCTTTTCTATCATACAATATTTTTTTGTTGTGTTACTATTTAAGTGTGCTCCTTTTTTGCTCTGACAATATAGCTCTGTTTTCTGTGGTTCTGTTTACTTTGTTATTTGCACAACAGCACAGTAGTGCTGTGTATAGTGTTAAGCAGGAAAAAAACCCTGTACTGTATTTATTTATCAAAGATTTTGTTTGTAATTTGAAATCTTGTGCAACATTTAGTTTTAAACAGGAGAAAAACCTGTACTGCGTTTTATTCATCAAAGATTTTGTGCCGCTGTTTATTTGTAAACAGGGAAGGAAACCCCTGTGTTTGTATTATATTTAGCTCTAAAAAATGTTTAATAAAGTTTTAATAAAGGCTTTAACTCTCAAGTAACCATTTATGGTAAAATACCGGATATATCGTCATTCCTCCTAAAAATACCAGGATATAATATTTTGGCCATATCGCCCAGCCCAACTTAAAACCACCACAAAGTGGATGAAAACATCCTTAACAGCACACAAGGGTAAAAAAAATTAGGGAAGTCTATGTTAAGTATTTCTTCTTTACCACGTTGATTTCTCATAATATGTACAGAAGCGGTATTAGTTCTACTAGCTCAACTTTTTTTTTTTCCAACTCTACACTCATTACCTTAAATCAACCATAACAGCAAATCCATCCATCTCTCCTCATTAAAATGCAGATTAGACTCTTGGCATTAATGAGGTTTAAAAGCAGCGTAATATGATTATTTGAGATAAACTCTCAAACACAAAGGTACAGATCAAAGACTAAACACCGCTGATTAGGTTCAAAGACGCGCATTTAGATGTAAACACTTAACTCCGAACGTTACCATCTTTAAAAAGCACCGGGGCAATAAATACACCCTAAGGGTAATTCATTCAAAGTCCTGCTAATAGGAAAGCGCCACCTCCATCCGCGGCGCTCATTATTGAGTAAAACTCTCCAGAAGCAGTGATCCGTAGCGCCGTGCCTTTAGCTGCTTTGGAGTGCTGAGGTAAGGGGAAAAAAATTCACACACACACACGCTCGTACTCACACTCGAGGGCAGCAAATATGGCTTATAAAACACATCCAAGTGGCCCGGCTGCCCTCGCTGTGACCTGTGACCTCATTTCAGGAGCATCCGGGCGGCTTGTTATTTAAAGAGAAACTACAGGCCTTCGTGTGTCTGACTTTTCTTTGAATTGTGACCCCGTCGTGACGGAACGAGACAAACACAGGCGGAGCAGAACATGAGCGGAGTGCAAAAATAAAGCTGAAGCTATCATTACTGAGAGAAAGAGAGAGAAAGAATATGCCACAGCCTGAGGGACAGAGAGGCACATATTATGTTCACTTTATGTCAATTTGTCCCACTTTTATTCAGCCCACCAAGCCCCTTTTACAATGCAGATGAGTATTGTTGTCATCTATATTTTAAAGTGATGGTTTACCCGAAAATGAAAACTCTGTCATCGTCACTGGGTGCTTTTAAAACTAATTAAAAGGCTTATTTTTATATAATAATATTTATTTATATAATAAATACCAAACTTATAATTAATAGTATGAGGTGGTTTCACTTTCGAAATGCGCTATAAATTCATCCTATTTTGACATTTTTAATTCTTTTGAACACATTCAGGTGCTGCTTGTCAATTTGACAAGGCTTCTTAGTTCATTCTTACTGTCAATTAGGGAAGAAATGATTGATAAATGGTTTCTGATAAACCGCTGTGACAGCTGCAGGAGCTGTGTGACGTGCACAGGAGTCAGAGGGGAGTCAGAATTGCCCAGGCAGTCAGATTTAGATACAACACCAGCACTGCATGTTCTTATTTTATAGCTTTAAGTTTGAGGCATGCTTGTTATTGTACTCTATAGTTATTTTTTTATTTATTTTTTAATAGTTTTTTTTATTTTTATTGTGAAGCCTCTTAGGATCAGCTACGGTGTTGTGTTAAAATGATGCTTTATAAATTACGCTGTTGAACACACACAAAAAAAAGGATATTTTGAAAAATTCTGGTTGCTGGGACCTACTGATTTCCATAATATATATATGTATATATATATATATTCTTTTTTTCTTAGTATGTGTTGCAGAATTAAAGATTGATCAAAGGTTTACGAGAACTGAAAGACTACAGTGCTTTACGTCTTCTACGTGAATTTCCAACTAAAAACGAAAAAAAAAGGTGGCATTATTAGTTGGCAAAAATTGATCGCGCTGGATCAGTATGTCATGTGTCGGAGAGTGGTCGTCCAGGCTACTGTTGAAAATATCACCACTGTCCATGACATGGTACTGAGCCAAGAAGATGCACCACACACCCATTGCACTGTCCAAAAGATTGCAAACTAGGTAAGGTGGAAATCATATACATATCTACTAATTTGTTAAAAATGATTTAATTTGCCATCTAATTACAAAGTATATTTAAAGTTGGAGGTATTTTCACAAAGTTCTAACAGAATTCATTTCGCTTAGATATTTTTGAGACACAGTGTATATATATTGAATGATTTAGTCAGTGTATGGGTGTTTCCCAGTGTTGGGTTGCGTTTGGAAGGGCATCCGCTGCATAATCATATGCCAGAGTAATTGCCGGTTCATTCTGCTGTGGCAACCACTGATAAATAAAGAACTAAGCCGAAGGATTGTAAGTGAGTGATTCAGTCAGCTTGGTTAAAGATGTAAACAGATCGCAGTATGACTCGGTGCAGTTTGCCACTTGAGTTCATTAGCTGCGCTTCATATGATCCAGCTCCTCCAAATGTTGCGTTATTGCCTGCTCTCTCTACTGTGCTCATTTAGCTCAATGTCTGTTTGTGTCTGTTTCATTTTCAATACATTTGTTATTCAATTCATCCGGAAAAAAAACCCTTCTAGACTCACTGTTGTATCAACTTCAGTAATTTGACTAGAATCCTCAGTTAATGAAACAAACATGGCACGGAGTTCATTTCACACTATAAATCACATTTGAAGCTGTAATAAAGTCTCGGTTGTGTCCTCACCTGCAGGACGGTCTCTCCAGGCAGCATGTTAGTGAAGATCTCCACACTGTACGACACCTGAGCGAAGGTGGGTGTGTTGTCGTTCGCGTCGATGACCAGGATGTCCACCGTCACGGGTCTGCTTTGCTGAACACCATCAGTCGCCACCAGCTTTCAGAAGACAAAAGAAAAACAAGCACATTGGTAATTATACAGTACATCACCGATGACAACATTTACATTCATTTAGCAGACGATTTTGTCCAAAGCGACTTACAACTGAGGAGGCATTCAGTGATTTAACAGGAGGCAATACACACAGGAAGTGCTCAGTAAACCAAGGAACTATTTGTTCTCAGTGAATTAAGTGCTAGAGTTTGGGGAAGGGTGTTTTATTATTATTATTATTATTTTATTTTTATTTTTATTTTTTTAACAGAGCTCATTCATAAATGCACAATGTTAATTGTTTTAGGAATGTTGAGTTAGGTAATGTGCAAAACTGGTGCAAATGTCGAATAAAATGACAGAGAGATGAAATAGTGTGTTTTCTACAGGTGGTTTGTCAGGCCCACGTACCTGTGTGAAACACAGAATTGCATAGTTTTTTTCAGGTTGTCATGTTCCTTTTAAAATAAGTGAATTCATCAAGTGTTTTTTTATGCTTGAAAAAAAAAAAAACGAAAAAATATCACACAATATTACACATAAAAATTATAGAAAATACACTTCTTAAAATTAAATAATAGATATTTAAACAAAGTCTGACAATATTATACATAATAATAATATTAATAATATTAATAATAATAATAATAATAATAATAATAATAATAATAATAATAATCTGACAACTTCTACAGAACTGTATTCAAAATCAAGACAAATATAAACAGAAATAATATTAGTTCCCTCTTTGGCTTTTTAAAGTGAAAAAAAATCTACATAAGATGTTAAAAAATAAATGAATGAGCAAGCACTTCAATCACTTAATAATTGCTTAAGGTACTTTATATTACTTTTTTAAAATAACAAAATAACTAATAATTAGTGTTGGACAAAGATTAACCACATCCAAAATAAACTTTTTTTTTTTTACATTAGACATGTATGTACATATGTATTATGTATATGTGATACATACACACACAAACACACCCACACATAAAAATAAAGCTATGCAAAGATATCTAAAATATAAATAAACATTTTCTAGAAAGTAGAATAGAATAGAATAGAATAGAAGGCTTTTCCTAAATATTAATTAGCCTACACACACAGTTCAGTCCTGCATCCTCTCCTTGTAAGTTCAGACTTCGCAAGTTTGATATGGCAAACAGACTCCCGAGGACATGTCCGGTAAATCTTTAAAGGGAACAGTGTACTTTATAACCTCATTCACTTCATCCTGGCTACGTTGTCTCACTATATTTTAATAATAAAATGAAAACATGATATAAGAAACTGTCATTTTCATTTTGATAATAACAACTTAACAGACAGCAGAAATGTTAAGGTGTTGTGCAGCATATATGAGTTTCACCTTTGCAAAATACAAAACAAACCGTCTCTTTTGCTGAATATCAGTGTTAATAATCAATAATGGCCATTATAACACTATAATGTACAATAAGTTTATACATTATAGAAAATAAAGGCAAGCAATCAGTCAATATGTGTGTGGTTCCATTAATTATTAACTTATCTTTGTGCTCAACCAAAACACGTTACCTGAGAACAAGTAATCGATTCAAAAGACCAAACTCAGGGAATATGTCGTTAGATATAGACAAGATATTATATATCACGTTTAACAAATATAGTGAGATATCCAGTGGGAGATCCTTGATGAACACTCCGAGCACAGCTCTCATCTGGACAGATATGCTGCAGCGCATGCCAGAGTGTGTGTGTGGTCACGTGATGTGCGTTTTTAGCATTTTGGTAGATGGAGAGCTGTTCAGAAACGCTGGGTGAAACGCTAGTGTGGACGCGGATCGTTTTCATTCTACAACGCACAAGTGTAAATGGGGCTTTAGACCCTTAAAGAGTGTATTATGTCACATTAAGCTGTAAAGAAGTGTCTTGAAGAATATCTAGTCAAATATTTTTTTCTGTCATCATGGCAAAGATAAAATAAATCATTATAGACCTGGTTATTTTTTTATTATTACTTATTTACATTTACATTTACATTTAGTCATTTAGCAGACGCTTTTATCCAAAGCGACTTACAAATGAGGACAAGGAAGCAATTTACACAACCAAGAGCAACAATGAATAAGTGCTATAGGCAAGTTTCAGGTCTGTAAAGTCTAAGAAGGGAAGTATTAGTAGTATTAGTAGGAGCAAGAAGGAGCAAGGCCAGAAGTCACTTTGTAGGCAAACATCACAGCTTTGAATTTGATGCGAGCAGCAACTGGCAGCCAGTGCAAACGGACTAGCAGCGGAGTGACATGTGCTTGTTTAGGTTCATTGAAGACCACTCGTGCTGCTGCATTCTGGAGCAGTTGAAGAGGCTTGATAGAGTTAGCTGGAAGCCCAGCTAGTAGAGAGTTGCAGTAATCCAGTTTGAAGAGAACAAGAGCTTGAACAAGGAGTTGAGCTGCATGTTCAGATAAGAAGGGTCGGATCTTTCTGATGTTATAGAGTGTGAATCTGCACGATCGAGCAGTTCTAGAAATGTGGTCAGAGAAGTTTAGTTGGTCATCAATCGTTACTCCAAGGCTGAAGATGATGATCTTTCATCCAGTGTGAAATATCCAACAGGCAAGCTGAGATGCGAGCTGGAACTAAGGGATCATCAGGATGAAAAGAGAGGTATAGCTGGGTATCATCAGCATAGCAGTGGTAGGAGAATCCATGTCTCTGGATGACTGGTCCTAGAGATGATGTGTAGATGGAGAAGAGAAGTGGCCCAAGAACAGAGCCTTGAGGTACCCCAGTGTTTAGATGCTGTAGGTTGGACACCTCTCCCCTCCAAGACACCCTGAATGACCTCAGGGTCATTCAAATATTCTTGTGCTAATTAGAATGTTTTATAATAAAAAAGCAAACAAAAAAAAAATCAGACATACTTTGCATTTTACTGGAAAATCAAGAAAATGACAAATGAAGTGTTAAAATGAATGTGTGCGCAGTTTGCTGCCATAATTAAACCTGCTAATTTAAAATCTATTTCTATGGTGCAACTTAATCCATTATACGTTCTTTTTATTTTTTTTTTATGCATTTTTAACCATGAAAACGATATTAAAATGAGTGTTTTGTGCTGTGTACTGCTTAAGTATATCCTGCTGATTCGATTTCATCAGTATCTGACATATAGCACAGCGTGCCAACACTTCATACAACAAATTCTCAGTATTAAGGGACAGCTTACAAATGTTATCGGCTAAAAGTGCCACAGCAAACATTTGTCCAGAGTCTCCCACTGCGCTCCTTTTCAAAGGCAGTGGAAATGCTGAGCCAGCAGCCGTGGGTTACTCTGTTGTTCCTCGCCTTGCATTTCCATGAGCTTTTCCCCCCAGAGGATCCAGCTAGTAAATGTGGATCAAAGCCCTGCGGTTCCTCAGTTTGAGCAGGAGAACAGAGCTTTTGCATACGTAAACAGTGCGCTTGGAGAACAAGGAGCTCGCTTTGTATCCAGGTGGACTTCTCATGTGTGCCAGGCTCCTATTAGACACTCTGTTATTGACCTCATGCTGGATTTAACCTGAATGACCACTTAGATGTTGGAGCATGTGAGATCTTTCATTTGCTTTACTGTCTAGAGCTGATTAACAAATTTCTGGTTCAAGCAGTTGGATATAGGATGTTTCAGCTGGAGGGATTTTGCTATGGAATAGTAGAAGGATTGTGGGGATATTCCTTCATTCATTCATTTTCCTTCGGCTTGGTCCCTTATTTATCAAGGGGTTGCCACAGCGGAATGAACCTCCAACTATTCCGGCATATGTTTTACGCAGAAAATGCCCATCCAGCCTCAACCCAGTCCTGCGAAACATCCATATACACTTAAATTCACACATAAACCATAGCCAATTTATTTAATCAAATTCACCTCTATTGATCATGTCTTTAGACTGTGGGAGAAATCAGAGCACCTGGAGGAAACCCACGTGAACATGGGGAGAACATGCAAACTCCAAACACCAACTAGCCCAGCCGGGACTCAAAGCAGTGACTTTCTTGCTGTGAAGTGAAAAAAAAAACATGTCTCTGTGGTCTGTTTTATTAAAAGGGTCATGAAATGAGAAACCCAAATTTCTTTAATTGACATCTGAGAGCTCGAAGTACTATAAAAACATCCTAACCATCCCCATATCATAACTGGCTTCATCACTGTAGAGATGTGGAGATTCCCCCCAATGTACAAAGTGATTTGAGGGTACAGAAAATCGCTATAAGAATGTAAAGAATTATTATTAATTATTATGTTTTTTTATGTAAGCATTTACTTTATGAGTGTACATCACTAGAACAGCACAAAAATAAATAAATAAATAAATAAATAAATAAATAAATAAATAAATAAATAAATAAATAAAATAAAAAACTGAGGTGATTCTTGACCCCTTTAATTAAAAAAAAAATCTGATGTGAATATTAATGCATACAAAGTATGGCAATTACACTATTACTAGTACTTCTACAACTGCAAAATATAAATAAATAAAAATAATAATGCAATATCTTATTTTCATCATCATAATATTAGTATTATTAATTTATAAAAAGCAAAAAATATATATAAATAAATAATAAAATTAATCAATTCAATTATTTAAAATTATTTAAATTAAAATTAAATAAGAGTGTCACGGTGGCGCATCGGTAGCACGATTGCTGGCGAAAGTCGCTGGTTCAAGACCCATCTGGGTCAGTAGGCATTTCTGTGTGGAGATTGCATGTTCTCCCCCAATTGGCAAGGGCTTCCTCTGGGTGCTCCGGTTCCCTTCACCGTCCAAAGACATGCGGTACAGGTGAATTGAATAAGCTAATTTGGCAGTAGTGTATGTGTGAATGAGAGTGTATGAGTGTTTCCTAGTGTTGGGCTGCCGCTGGAAGGGTATCTGCTGCATAAAACAAATGCTGGAAAAGTTGACGATTCATTCCACTGTGGCAACCCCTGATTAACAAAGGGATTAAGCCAAAAAGAAAATAATTGA